AAGAAAATTTAAAAAAAAGTAATTTATTTTATAGCAAATTTAAATTTGTTAATTCAATTATTAAACTAAAAAATTATAGTTTTATCTATAATATTTATGTTTGTCAAACTATTTAAATGTTTAAAATTTTAATCTCCAGTGTCTAAATAATATATACTCCGGACTTAATTGACCAACGGAGTCGAAATATTTATTATTTTAACTAAGAATTGAATTATTTATTTGTTAAATTTTTTTTTTAATAAATACACAAGGCATTGATTCAACCCTAAATTTTTATTTCTTTTTTATATAAACATAATTTTGCAGCAGTTATGTTTAATGTCTTATCAATAATAACAATACATTTTATATGTTATAAATATTATTAATATTTCAAATATATGTTTTTCAATTTTTAATAAATCAATCTATTATATTTTAGGAACTGTTATCATAAAGTTTCCATTGAAATTACCGACTAACTCAAATTTAATACTAAAAAGAAATAAAAATGTTTAAAGACAGATTTCATAATTAATTATATTGTGGTACATTTTTAGACATTATTGAATAATTCATATTTAAATCAAGGTTAAATCCAGTTCAATAAATTGCATAATATATAATTTTTTTTATTCGCACTGACACACCACCAACTCGAATTATGCAAAAAAACGGTATCCTTCTCTATTACGTCTTATTAATGTGTTGGTATATAAATAGTTACTTAGAGAAGCAACTAACCATCATTCAAACTAATATCATCTAAAGAACAACATGAAATTCGTAAGTCATATACTATTAAAGATAATAATCATCAATTTACTTATATGAATTTTAAACAAACTACTATCAGCAATGAAAAATAGTTTTATATTTTTGGAATATACACTAATGGACATTAAAGACTTAAAATATAAAATATAAAAAAATTATGCTTGACATTAAAATAATGTATTATATGAATTTAATGTAACATTATTATAATATTTATTTTACAGACAGTCGCTATTGTCGCTTTGGCTATCGTAGCCCTCGTTGGGGCCGACGCTAACAGCAAAACACAAAAAGCTGGAAAAAGAAGTATTGGTGAACTCGATTCAGGTTTCGGATCAGCAGATTACACTTATGGCTCTGGTTTGGGATACAGTTCTGGACTAGGTTTGGCCTCCGGATTGGGCTACAGCTCAGGATTAGGATACAGCTCTGGTCTCGGCTTGGGCTCCACTTGGGGCTCTGGTCTCGGTTTGAGCTCCACATGGGGCTCTGGACTTGGTTTGTCTTCCAGTCTCAGATACGGTTCCGGATTGGGTTTGGCCTCTGGATTGTCTGGATATTCATCAGGTTTGGGATTATCTTCCGCAGCTTACGCACCAGCTTACGCCAGTGCTGCCATTGCTCCAGCACCTACCGCCGGACCAGCTTACCAAATCTCCAGAGAAGTGCATGTCATTAACCGCCACGCACAACCCGTCTCTGCCCCATACCCAGTACCAGTAGAACACAATGTAGCCGTTCCAGTACCATCTCCAGTCCCATACGCAGTAGACAGGCCATACGCCGTGCGTGTACCACAACCATACCCAGTACCAGTCGAAAGACCAGTACCATACGCAGTAGATAGGCCAGTCGCTCACCCAGTAGCTTCTCCTTACCCAGTTCCCGTCGTCCGTAACATTCCAGTCCCAGTTCAACAACCCATCCCAGTTCCACACGTCAAACAAATCCCAGTACCAATTGCTCAACCATACGCCGTTCCAGCTGTGCATTCAGTTGCTATCGCCGCTCCAGCCACCTGGTCATCAGCTTCTCTTGGACACAGTTCCTATAACTCGGGATACGGACTATCCGCTCTCAGTGCTGGATATGGAGCATCAGCCCTCCACGGCGGTTACAGCTCATGGGCTCCATCAACTTACGGATCATTGGGATACAGTGGACTCGGAGGATTGTCTTCGTACAGCAAACACGGCTGGCACAAGAAGTAAAAAGTAACTTTAGTACCACATATTTCACAAAATTGTGATTTCTGTACTGTGTACATAATGTTTATAGTTACTCATTAAGATCTTTTTGATTTTTGTCATCATAAATGTTAAATAACTCATTCCATAATATCGTAGCGTATGCAATGTTAATTCAAATAAATGCGTTAAAAAAAAAAAATCAAATTTCTTTTAGTTTACAATAACGTACTCTATTTTTATCTAGTCACTTGAGAAACTTATAATAACTACTTTAATACAATAAAAGTAGTAGTCATACGATTTGTGTTTATAAAAAAATGTATAAAAAACTAAAATATTATTTAAATAATCTATTATAATTTGTCATAAAATCATAAAAAAATATTTTCCCTTTTCAATGATTACTAAAAACATTTTTCTTTATATTTGCTCATTTAGTATAACTATAATTTTTTAGTTTAATAATTGAATTAACAAATTTAAATTTGCTATAAAATAAATTACTTTTTTTTAAATTTTCTTTTATTTGTAGCCCCAAAAATATAAGTTATTTATTAGTTTATACAATTTTTATTGAAAAAAAATGAAATAAAGTATTGCATGAAACCAGTAGATTATAGTTAAGACATTTTTTTAGATAAGTATTATTTGATTTCTGGTTAAAATTAATATCGTTGTACGCTTTGATGTATATATATGAAACATAATAAATTAAACGAAACAGATATACAAAAAATTACATTGAATTTGACTTTAGAGGTTGATTACAAACAGACGATAAAACTTTTTTTTTTTCTTTATTTTATTCATACATTACATTAAACAACCTTAATATTATTTTATTTCGTAACTGTACAAAATATATTTGAATTACTCCTATTAAACGAGATTACAGATAATTTTTATTATTTCTTCTTAAGATAAATTTTACTAGTTTTATATTAATTTACGTTTAAAAAATGATCTATTTAACACTTAAACAAAATTTGCTTTGATTTTTGAGTACATTATTTTAATACGTTAAGTAAGTACGTAATTCAGGCAGAGTGCACACGTGCCAGTATGAGCTATACTCGCCGGAGATACTTATTATAAGATTATACTCTTAACATGAACTAAAAATGCAAAAGATGTTTTTAAAAAATTATTGTATTTGTCATATTTTTTCGATTTAACGTAATAAGAAGCATTATTACACACATTATATTATACTGCAACAAAACCAAAATTAAAATAAAGTAAACAAAAGTAAGAAGTGAGTTTAATATAAAAAATATGTAATAGCCCATTAAAATGAGCTATTAAATTATGATTTTTGTATAAAGAATCTAGAAAAAAAATTTCAAGAGAAACCATAAGAGCTTATATTTGGGTTTTATATACCTACAGTTATTAAAAACGCGTAATATGCACATTTAATATAATCTTATTCCTTTAAGTTTCTACAATTATTAACACTAACCAAATACCTGGAAAAAATTCGATATAGGTCAACTATATTTTACTAATTTGATGTTCACTAGTCACAAAATTTGTATTATTTTTGCACAAATATTTTTAAAAAAATGCAATAGTTTGTTTAATGCTATATCTTAGATTAAATACAATTAGCACTCATATGCAAAATCGGTCAAATAATGACTAAGTAGGGAAATAACACAAACTATGAAATTATGATGAAATATCGAAAATATGTTTAGCTGTTTATCAGAAAGAAATGTATTTATTATTAAATATTTTTGGTAAAATAATGCCTCATTCCTCATCATATCTATATTTCAAACACTGACATTTTTAGAAGAGAGAATTATTTTTAAAATGAGAGCTTTCTCTATTCAATATTCTACTATTAAATAGGACTTAACGTATAGATACTAAATAATTTTCGGGTTTAACGTCTCCAGGTCAAATGAAAACGTTATTAAATGAATAAGTAAAATTTAATTTTTGATTGCATATGTTCACGAATTGAGTTAATTTTTAATGTATATGTAATATTTATTATCATATTTAAAGCAGAAATTTCGTTACTAAAGAAAAAAAAAGAACAAATAAATCATAATAGTCTGATCGTTTTGGTTTTATGAAATTCGTATCATAATATTTAGTCATTATTTTTACAACATTATATTATACTGCACAAATTGTTTTTGATTTGAAACGATATGATATGCCAACTCACATAATTACAATAGAAATCATTACTACGTAATGAAAAGGTGAATAAAAATGAACAAAGCAATGATTTGATAAGACCAATTTATTTCAGTCGTAATAGTCTATAAAACAGACATAATTAGATGTACTCGGTACACATCGCTAACAAGTATTGTACAAAAGCTGAACATTTTTTTGAACACAATATTTACAATTTACTATAATTTTATGGAACTAGTTGGTGAGACATCAACAAATTACTTCTTGTGCCAACCGTGTTTACCGTATGACGAAGAAGCTGAGACATCAGAGTTGTAGTCAGCGCCATAATTCGATGCACCATAACCAGATGATCCATATCCGGTACTAAGAGCAGACGCTCCGTATCCTGCACCGTATCCAGATGATTCATACCCGGAAGCGAGGCCAGATGTTCCGTAACCGGCATTATAGGTAGAAGCAAGAGGAGCTGCGGAGTAAGCGATTTGTGCTGGGGCGGCGACGGCGTAAGGTTGAGCTACTGGTACTGGGATTTGACGGATTTGTGGTACGGGGACAGGTTGTTGAACTGGCACTGGGATGTTACGTACAACTGGCACTGGGTATGGTGAAGCAACAGGTTGAGCGACTGGCCTCTCTACGGTGTATGGTACGGGTCTTTCGACCGGAACAGGATATGGTTGGGGAACACGTACTGCGTATGGGCGATCCACTGGATATGGTGCTGGAGACGGTACTGGAACGGCTACGGTGTTTTCTACTGGTACTGGATATGGAGCAGAGACGGGTTGTGCGTGACGGTTAATGACGTGCACTTCTCTTGAAATTTGGTAGGTAGGTCCGGCGGTTGGTGCGAGAGCTATACCAGCTGGTGCAGCGATAGCAGCATTGGAGAGAGCTGAGCCGTAAGAGGCGCCGGACAATCCCAATCCGGAGTTCAAACCTAATCCGGAACCGTATCTGAGACCAAGACCAGAGCTATATCCCAATCCGGAGCTCAGACCGAGACCATTGCTGTATCCCAATCCGGAGCTCAGACCGAGACCATTGCTGTATCCCAGTCCGGAGCTCAAACCGAGACCATTGCTGTATCCCAGTCCGGAACCATAACTGTGTCCGGTAGAGCCAAATCCTGAATCGAGTTCGCCAATACTTCTCTTTTCGGGTTTTTCAGTTTTTTTAGTTTTGCTACTTGCGTCGGCCTCGACGAGGGCTACGATAGCTAAAGCGACAACAGCGACTGCCTATAAAACGAACAACGGTTTAATTTGTATATTTTTTGATAATTTAATAAACTCTATTTAAAATTGATTCAGTAATTGCGCTACAATTTGGCAGCCGACACTTGTACAAAAATATTTTATACTTACAAATTTCATGTTGTTGTTTAGATTCTCTTAGTTTGAATGATGTCAATTTGAAGCTCCAATCATCTTTATATACTAAAATATGTATACAATATTTCAAAGAAGGGCACCGCTGTACTGAAAGCAACGAATCCAGTCGGTGACAAACCGGTGTGCATAATATAGAAGGCATTATTGAATAAGTTTCCGTCATCGTGCTCAACATTATAGTTTAATTGTATAATTATTCATGATAAATCGTCTTTAGATTGTTGCATTCGTTCCATATTGCACTTATGTCACAGTAATCATTAAGAAACACTTTATTTCCATGAAATTTTTATTGCCAAAAAACGTTTAATTACAATTATTTTTTTGTCGACATATAATTATCTAATGTAATATTAAGCGTAAGAAGTGTTTCGATAAAATATTGATTGTTTTTCATTGATATTTTACAACAGAAATGTTCATTAAAAATATTAATGATGAGTAGTGGCTTTTTTTTTTTAGAACTCGTATTAGACGCGATATTGTTTCCCTCCAACATGAAAACCATTATTGTTCCAAAAATCGAACATCAGTTGATCAACTACGTGGGCTTTAAAAAAATACACTACTGAACTCATCTTGGTTGATTTGTTGTTATCTGGTGATTTAAATGCATAAATAATTATTATAAATTTTATTCGGAACATTTATTTATTTATAAGTTAAATTTGTATCACTAGATGTCATAAATTAAAATCTTTATTTAATTTCGAACTGTGTTATTAGAAATCGTTTAGGTTCAATCTATTTTGCATGTTATTAATAGATTTTCAAAAATAGGTTTTTTTTTGTATTTTTTTTATGTTTAAATACACATATAAGTGTATAAGATTTCTTACATTGTGATTTCAAAACAAATTATTTTCTCTGCAAAACTGTAATTTTACCATGTTAAATATATAGGGTAGTTTCTATTAAGTAAATTAAATCAAAGGTACTTGCAAAATATAGGCCAAGTTATAAAAATAAGTTTAGGGAATTAAAAATAATAAGATCTTTGAGTTATATTGGCAAACGATGTGAATTATTTAATATATAGTCTGTATCAAATTTGCGGTGGGTATATAATAATATTTAAATATTTTTGTTCGTCTTTGTCTTTTTCAGCAAGAATTCTAACTCTAATTATGTTGCACCTGTTTTTAAGTATTCTTTAACAAAATCTAATCAGAAATCAGCTTATACTACTGATTAACATAAATAATATATTACTTCAAAAACAGATATTTAATTTAATAGATTTTTTTCATTTTCTATAAACAATCATGAAGATGACGTCAAAAACAAATATAGTACACCTCAGTTTTTCAAATAAGTAAAATGGTTACGATATAAAATCTAATAATAACATTAAATAATGTTCGTCAAAATTACGTGAACATTATTTGTTATCTAGTTTTTATTACAAAAGTATAATCAGGTAGTCTGTCAAATTATTAAAAAGTTTAAATAGTACTAATCGTTTTTAAATGAGATATGATTTATAAATCGAATTCTGCTATTAGAATTCGTTTATATTTATTATATTTTATGTGTTATAAATAGTTTTTTTAAAAATTTATATAAAAATGAATTGTTTATACATGTTAGAGGATTTTCACAAACCCTTTGTATTTTTTTTAACTGTACTACTATTAGAAATAAAGATATATATTCACATTCAATATCTTTAAATTTGTCTTGAATACAATTTTTTAAAACATTTACCACTAAATAAAAAACTAGTTTTTATGTAATATAAAATATTCAAACGACTAAAATATATTAATGTTCTACTTTATCCAGCGTATAACAGTTTTGAGTGTAGAAAAAAAATAGTATTTGAAATTTAATTTAATTTTTAATCTTCCTAAAATTTAACTACTTATATACGGGTTAAATATTAATTGTCACTACTACAATTGATCATTTTATTGACATAAAAAATAGGTGATTTATTTACCTGATTATGAATTTTAAATTAAAGAATAAAATGTGTGCTGATATAATTTTGCTATGTCAACACTTTAGTCATAATATTGTTCCTATTTATCCAGCAAAATTGTATAAATCCAAGATTAAGTTATTTATTATCATAACATATAAATAATAAAAAAAAAATTTAAATGAACTGTATACTTAATGAACTATGTATGCTTATTTTTGTATAGCTAGGGCAAGTTATCGATTTTATAAAACTCATTAAAATTAAGTTAATTAAAACAATTCAACAAATTATTAGAAAAAGTTTTTTTTTTTGTTTTTAATAAATAATGCTTAAGTTATGTTGACATCATTTCATTATATAGACGATAATGATAAGTTAGTGTAAGTACTATTAGGTTTGCAAAAACATCTTATTCGAAGATGTTTAAAAAAAATTATTTATTATTATTTAATTATAACAATCAATAATAAAAATGCTCGGAAGGCTTTTTTTTTTATACAACAAAACAAATAATTTTCAAATATAATAAAATATATCACATATTTTTGTTATTTTTTCTACCAAAACTTTATTTATTATTAGGTAAGCTAATCAAAATTACATTATATTATCGCCTTCTTAGTAAAACAGCGTTTCTAGATAATTTAAGATTTTTTTTTAAGGAACATGTTTAAAATGTGATACACACAATTTTATGATTTTATTAAATAATTAATCTCTATTATTTCTTGAGATAATTTACATTTCAACAACGTATTTCTATTGTTCGCTATACAAAAGTAGAGTATTTTTATTTCCTCTTGAATAACTTTGAAAAATTAAGATATGTGGTATCGCCATGGAACAATAATGTGTAGTGATAATAATATATTTCAAAATTTTTTCTAGTTAATTAAAAAATCGTTTTATTATAATTAGTATTTTATTGAAAAAAAGGTATTTTATGAAAAATAAAAAAATATACGTTAATTAGTTCTATAAAGAACTATAGAAAAATTAAGTTAAAGAAAAATCTAAATATCTTCGTTAAGTTAAAAACTTGAACTCAACTTTAATTCATTAACTCGTTCATGCCTAATTTTGTAATTCAGAATACAGAATATTACACCATATTTAATATAAACAAATATAAGTATAGTAGTAATCTTAAGAAACAAGAGTATATTTATAATTAAATCGCGAAATTAAATGATTTTATAAATTTTGTTAAGTTATTTCGAACATATAAAATTTTTATTAATTAACTTGAAAATTTAATAATATATTTTTACTGATTTTCTAGTTCTAGGCGTGATTACTTGGATAAGTACCCACTAAAATGAAAAATATTTCTATGCTACGATATAATCCAACAAAAAGTTTCACAAACTCGGGACCCTTCAAAGTTTCTTAAACAAAACTTTTAAACGCATACAATTCCGCGCTCTATTTATTATTTATAATTATATTTTTTATACTTTTTAGTCAATGTTAAAAAACGTTTATTTAAGCTTCGATGGAAGCTGAGAATATGTACATTTTACTATGTCTTATTTATCGTACACAAGAGCGAGTAATGAATATAGCAGATTAAACAAAAAAAAAGTTAGCCATTGAAAATGTTACACTTTCATACAACTTAACTTAAATCATACATAATATAATCTCAATAATTATAATTTTTAGTGTTATAAATTCAGAGGTATTATTTTTTTTTTGTCCTAGGGGATTATTAATAAGAAAAAAAATATTCAAACACTTCCCTGCAAAGAAATATTTTTTTTGTAACGATCTTCCAATCTTTAAGAGTAGAGTAGGTTTTATAACGTTATGTTGTCTAAATTTCATTTCAATTCTTCCCTAGATTGTGTTTTTATGCAATAATACAAAGCTTTCATTTAAGCTTTTGATTTAAAACTGTACTTAAAAATGCCGACAAAGTTGTTATAGAGTTGTTCTTATTGAGTGGAAAATATAAAGTTTTAAAAGTGTAGTAACTCAATTTTCTTATAAAAATTTTTTTTTATATTTAAATATAAAATAAAAAAATCGTGAAATATATTAACAATTTGCTAAATATTATACGTATTTTAGAAAATAATTAACTGAAACGGCTGAAAAACTGTTGTTAAGATCTAATAATCCATATCATGTGTCATTAGCCGTTACTAGCGTTTAATATTGAACTAAAAGAAGTTGTTCTGTATGCCAATAAAAAGCTGAGACAATAAAAACGATTGATTGTAATGCGGTGACGGTATAAGGTTGAGTTGCAAATACTGGAATAAAAAAAATATATTAAAAGATTTGATTTGAATCGATATGATATGCCAACTCACATAATTACAATAGAAATCATTACTACGTAATGAAAAGGTGAATAAAAATGAACAAAGCAATGATTTGATAAGACCAATTTATTTCAGTCGTAATAGTCTATAAAACAGACATAATTAGATGTACTCGGTACACATCGCTAACAAGTATTGTACAAAAGCTGAACATTTTTTTGAACACAATATTTACAATTTACTATAATTTTATGGAACTAGTTGGTGAGACATCAACAAATTACTTCTTGTGCCAACCGTGTTTACCGTATGACGAAGAAGCTGAGACATCAGAGTTGTAGTCAGCGCCATAATTCGATGCACCATAACCAGATGATCCATATCCGGTACTAAGAGCAGACGCTCCGTATCCTGCACCGTATCCAGATGATTCATACCCGGAAGCGAGGCCAGATGTTCCGTAACCGGCATTATAGGTAGAAGCAAGAGGAGCTGCGGAGTAAGCGATTTGTGCTGGGGCGGCGACGGCGTAAGGTTGAGCTACTGGTACTGGGATTTGACGGATTTGTGGTACGGGGACAGGTTGTTGAACTGGCACTGGGATGTTACGTACAACTGGCACTGGGTATGGTGAAGCAACAGGTTGAGCGACTGGCCTCTCTACGGTGTATGGTACGGGTCTTTCGACCGGAACAGGATATGGTTGGGGAACACGTACTGCGTATGGGCGATCCACTGGATATGGTGCTGGAGACGGTACTGGAACGGCTACGGTGTTTTCTACTGGTACTGGATATGGAGCAGAGACGGGTTGTGCGTGACGGTTAATGACGTGCACTTCTCTTGAAATTTGGTAGGTAGGTCCGGCGGTTGGTGCGAGAGCTATACCAGCTGGTGCAGCGATAGCAGCATTGGAGAGAGCTGAGCCGTAAGAGGCGCCGGACAATCCCAATCCGGAGTTCAAACCTAATCCGGAACCGTATCTGAGACCAAGACCAGAGCTATATCCCAATCCGGAGCTCAGACCGAGACCATTGCTGTATCCCAATCCGGAGCTCAGACCGAGACCATTGCTGTATCCCAGTCCGGAGCTCAAACCGAGACCATTGCTGTATCCCAGTCCGGAGCCATAACTGTGTCCGGTAGAGCCAAATCCTGAATCGAGTTCGCCAATACTTCTCTTTTCGGGTTTTTCAGTTTTTTTAGTTTTGCTACTTGCGTCGGCCTCGACGAGGGCTACGATAGCTAAAGCGACAACAGCGACTGCCTGTAAGTTGAAAATTAGTTTAAAGTAAAGGTGGTTCAAAAACCTTCTATTTGTGGATGCCCCAATAATTTTCCATGATCCAAAATCCAAATGTATAAGAAATTAAATATATTTATTACGCATAATAAAATTTGTATTATGTTTCTCATTGTATAATAATGTAATAATATAAATCATTCTGTATAATAATTTGATATAAATTGAAATGAATCATAAATTTCTAAAAAAGCCACTTAAATTGTTATGTACAATATTTTACCTAATAATTGCACCTTGTCAATTAGTATTTTTTTAAAAAGTTATTTAATGATATAATAACAAAATCTATATTGTATCGTTTATTAATATTATGTTTCTACTACAACAATTTATATCTATCACATAAAAATTATAAAATTATTAGTGATATATTTTCGTTTTAATTTAATTTTGGAAAAGATAATTGCTTAAATTTTCAATACTTACGAATTTCATGTTGTTATTTGAATGGTTTTGGGTTGAATGATTATACATTTAAGAAACAATCAGCTATTTATACTAAATTTAAATAATCAGTAGTTAGGAAATGTGTGATGCTGTAACCATTTGCATAAATCCTGTTTGTTCACAGATAACCATAAAGTGATTCTTTTGACATATTGTGTAAAGGATTTTCAATAAAATAATTTACCTAAAATCATCTTCTTATAAATAATAATTCGAATCTTATTATATGTGTTAGTGTTTTACATATTCAAATTATATCAATATAAATAGTGTAATATAATGAATAAATTATCTCCTTTTTTATATAAGGACGAGATATTTTTAAACAAAGGTTAATAAACTGCAGTTAATCAATTCGGTTTTTTTGTCATAGTTATTTGTCAAACTTTAAAAAAATATTTTTTTAAATTTTGGATTTGGTTATTTTTATAACAGGATTAGTTTATTAAGAGTGAATATGGGGCATTTATTTCAGTAAAATTTTTCAAATATTAAGTGTAACAAAACATTCGTTAAAATCAGTTTAAAAATAAATATTTAAATGAGGAGCTTAAAAGTTAAAAATATTAAAATTAGCATCTTTAAAAATCTATATAAATTGTAATATAAACATTTTTATTTGGGGAGAGGAATTTGAAAAAACTCTAAAAAATGTTTTTTAATTGTGTTTTCTATAATGATTAAATAAAAATATTATCGCAGAAAATAACACATATTTGTAATATTAGCAGAAAACTTTTTTATTTATTCTGCCTTTTAGGGACTCTAGTAGATAATTATTATTTACTTAATAATTCTGATTATTGTGTTATAATGGTTGTGAAAATATGAATTAACAAAAATGTACTTTAAAGTAATAAAATTAAAAAAATAATTGTTTAATTTACAATTATAATTTAACACTCAACTCCTATAACATCCATTTAATTATATTTTTTTCATGAGGTTTTGTTAGATAAAGAGAACTTCTTACAAATTTTTCTAAGGGTGGTGTATTGCATACATTTTACTAAGTCAGCATTTTAGTTTAGGCATTTTTCTCGATTGAGAAAATTGAAAGTGGATGTCATATTTTTTTAACAATGAAATAATTAAAAAAATGTATAACAGTTTTTCTTAAATAGTCTTGTCTGAAAGCTCTAATTATAAACGTTGTGTTTTTACTCTTATTATTTTAACTTTATTTTAGATTTTTCGTATTCTGAATAAGAAAACACCATTTTTTTTTTTTTGCTCATATAAATATGGAAGTTTGCTATAATTAAATATGTAATTGATTATTGTTGAGTTGGCAATTTTGGTTGGGTGAATGACTACCATCCACCACAGGATTACCTCTGATTAGATATTATCCTAATTTGTTAAAATCAAACACACAACCTATTATGCTATTTAATAACAAATACATTGATAAGTTCTAATTTAATATTAATTATATGTTAATTTAGGAAGAATTATTCATGTGAAAGAAAGTATTGTAAAGAATACTGGAAGTTACCGTTTTACTGACTAACATAAATCCAGTTGGTGACAAACTGGTGAACTATAACTTTACTATTGTGCAAGGTTTAAGTTTATAGTTTCAGCTGTTTAAAAGGTGGGCAAGAACTATTCATGCACTCAGACCTACATGACTTTTAAGCGCATCTCCTACCAAATTATATTAATACTGTTTCTTCATATAAGTGTTTTTGATATTTTTTGTATACCAAACACTATATATATATATATATAGAATGTCATACTAAGACATTCCTATAAATGTTCAAAGAGTCCTATCTCCCTGTTGAAGTTCAGTATCTCTTTGGGTATTGTGTAAGGCTTTGTTAGTATATTAATATTTTCAGTATAAATTTACATTTGGTTTATCTTCTCAGGTCACGCAACTCGATCATCATAACAAACAATCATTTGTATTTATCGATATTTAAAAATAACAAAATTAAATTAAATTTCCTAATATAATTTTATAATTAAGAAACATTGAATAATACCGCAAAAACTGGATGTGCAATGCACATGGCCCATAAGGTTTAAGAATATAGGTAAAGGTGTCTACTATTTTTAAATAATGGCGAGGAAGAAAAACGGAGTAATTATCGGTAAACAGGTCCCCAGGCTAGTAGTTGCAGTCATTGGTGAAATTTAAAATAAATGATTGAGGATTTAACTTAATATGTACTCTTAAAAGTATTTCTTTATAAATTAAAATGTAATTTTCATAATTTGGAGAGGACTACGCAACCCCTAGTTTGCAGCACTGCCATTGAGACTGATTTTTTTCCATAAAACCTAAATAATGGTTTAAAAAAATGTTTAAAATATCATTTACTTATTATTTTCTAAATTTTTAAAAATCATTGTTTCTCATGCTGTTTGAATAAATATTTTTTCAAACCCTTCAATTTTAAATTCATTTACGTTTGTGTTTGTAATCTAAAATATCATACTTTAACGATACAATGATTACAATGCCATCAAATGGATCAATTTGGAGCGGTGGTTAAGCTTGGAACAGTTAAATATCTATTTTAATTTTAGTCGTATCAATCTAAAGTACTAGTAGAATTATTAAAAGTTTTGTTTAGGAACAAAAAATATTTATTCACATAATGTTATGATGAAATGTGTAAAATAGTAATTGTCTCAAGTTTAACCACCACACCATGTTAACTCATTTCACAGCATTTCTAAATTTATCATTAAAAAACTTTAATACGCCTTTACCTTTTATTATTCTCTAGATAAAAATTAATCGACGACTACTAACGTATCTATCACAAGCTAGTTTTATAACTAATTGATTTGTTACCGACTGATTCTTAATATATTTTTGTAATTTTAACAAACGAAAATTTCATATGTACATAATCATACCTTGTGTTTATGTATAAGTTACGGAGAATAAAGTGCTCTCAATTAGATGTTTTAAAATGCAATTAACAAATTTTCAAATTAAACAAATTATTTTAAAATTCAATAAGTTTTTTTGTATTTAAAGATTATTTCAAATAATTTTAAAAAATATTTAAATATTCACTCAATACTTTATCATTAAAATATTAAAAATATTTTTTATATCACCAGTCATTAAATTGAATTTCAAACGAGTTGTATACGATTCAGATTATAGGCGGTGTCTTTTGATAAGGTTATATTATTATGTAAGTGGTCAAGTTCAATTTTTAATTAAAAACTCAAAACTACCATAAGAGTTAATTTTTTTTAACTTGATATAATAATGGATAACAAAAAAATAATAAAATCCTAATGAGTAAATTTTAAAGACTTAATAAAAAAAATGAGGGATAGTATACTAAATAAATTATAATGAGTATCTAGAAAACCTATTTTTCAAAATAAGATCATAATTTTCAGTTACATTATATAATTTGAAACAAATGCTCTAGACAAAACATATCAAAGTTGTTTTTTACATCATTATTTGTATCAATTAAAAAAAAAAACAAATTAACCAACTAATTATTTACTAAAAATTGCTAACAGGCAAAAAAATAAACCGAAAATATAAAAATTCAATAATTTTACAGTAAAGCTTATGGATTGATAATACAAAATTATATTGTTTATTTTATTTGTAATATTTAATTTTTAAACAAAACTATTTCATATAAAAATAAAAATAAAACTCAATATTTATATAGCAAGTAATATATAATAAGATAAAAAAAACAGAATAACAAAAACTCTAAAAAAAAGGTAACTTTATAATAACTGTAAAACTTTTTTTATGTATATTAATTTAATACACTGCAATTTTTGTTAAATAGTAAAGTTAGGACTGTAAAACAAAATTATCAACCATCTTGATCAATCATTCTCTCAGTGATATTGTACTTTTCTACACAAGTCTACAAAATGATAATAATAATAAAACATAAGTTTTTATTTAATAATAAGTTTTAAATTCAGCATATGAAATTAGTTAATTGTTAAGTATTTTAAACATTTAACTATTAATAATGCTTCAACTTTTTATAGAAATCATAATTATTATTTCAATTTACCTTCCATATAGTATGATTTATAGTAAACAAGGTAGAATCATGGTCATCTTTATTATTTATGCTATCATTATTTTTTTTCTTTGCTAAGGTAATGGAAATAAACTCACCCAAATCACTATCTATAAATTATGAATAGTAATATTTCAATAATTAATAAGTATTAAAAATTTTTTGAAACAACAAAGTCAATAAAATATAGAACATTGTTAATCTACATAAAAATTAGAATTTTTAAATGTTACATTTTATTGATACAGTAATGTTTTCTGCAATATTTTATCACAATATTGAAGAAAAATAATAATATCCTGATAACATAATATTTATTATATAAACTACTCTACTACTATGAAGTGCAGTAACTCCACAATTTTGAAAAATGAGGTTATGTTAAATTCTCACTAATTGAGTAGCATTTTCTTTTTATTTCTAACATAAATATTTCAAAGACTTCATTTAAAATCTTTTGAAAATAGTTTTTAAAATATATAATCTAAATAGAAATCATATAAACTTAACATTAAAACACAATTTCCCGACATTTTAATTTATGGAAGTTTATATTTCGTATATTTTGCTAGTAAATAATGACTATTTAATAGCAAAATATACGTAAATATAGAATGAAAATCACACATGGGAATTATGCTTTATAACAATTTCATATTTGATTAAGACATTATACATAAAAATTTAAAAATGTTATATTCAATATAATAATGATTTAAACATTGATATTGAAAATTCTATAATCAACATCATTAACCATATATCTTTGAAATCCAAATACTTTATTAAAGTATTGATATTATTTGAGAGTCCTGATACAAATAATTTTCTATGATTTCATATTAAAAAAGAAAAATGACTTGATTAAGTATTCTAACTTATTTAGCATCTCATAATTATTTCATATTTTTAAGAAATTTTAAATACAAAAATATTAATAAGTATAAAAATGTAACCAGCATATTGTAAAAATATAAAAAATTAATTTTATGTTAACTATTGCCCAATTTTTTATATCTATGCAGAATTTATTATTTTTAAAAATAGTTTTTAAGATCACAATTTGAATCTATATTTGATATAAATTATCTTTAAGGTTATCGTATCTTTTTTTTTTAAGCAGGTATTTATACATATTATTAGATATATATATATTATATATATTACAATATGATATCATACTTTTATACAATATTTTTTTTATATAAAATATACATTTTTTTCAAAAGCAAAGAATTTTATCTGTTTTAATCCCACATTTTGGGGGCTTTTCCAAGATAAAACAGAGACAAATTTATCCTTTTTGTAATGTTTTTGTTTTTTAAGATGTATGCTATGATACATTATTAAATTTTATTAATTGATATTTATTTTTTTAGTTTTGCATGTAAGAAATAGCACCTAAAAAACTGCAAGGCTATTTGGGGAACAATTTTAATCAGTTTATTTTGGTTTGTGACCATTGACCATCATTTTGAGATGTAGAAAAATCAATGTCAATTTTTTCAGATAATGATATGTACACCATTTCTAAATGGACAAACAATTTGTTAAAAACACTTAACAGACAAGTTGTCTACTTTACACCTAATTGAATAAAGAATAATGCTATGTTACTTATTGCCAGAACAATACAACTAGAAGTAATAAAAGATATTCATGATATTAGACATTTTGGAGTGATAAAAAATAGAAGATTTAGTAAACAAAGAATATTCAATAGCTCTATAGGATTTATATATATTTTTGTTGTAATAAATGCCTTTTTGTAAGTTTTGCTAGCTATTTCGAAGAACTACTTCAATAGAAGTTATGAAAAATATGAACAATCTTAGAACCATATTTGGAATTTAGTTAGACTAGTAATGGACATCTGTAATAACATCTAGTAATAACATCTAGACTTCCTAGAGGTTATAGACAAATTGAGCAGTTAAATAATTTAATCATTTTATTTGTGTCTAAATTAAATATTGATAGGTCTGACGAATGGTATAAAGTAGTTTCTAAGGTCTAGGTGGCTTTAATAGCTTCTATCAAAGCTCTATTGGTATGACTCCCTTTAAATTGATTTTAGCAGTTAAAATACGCCATCCTCAGTAATTTTCTATATGTGAAGCTATTGAACAAGATTATGCAAAAAGTTATGTCGATAATTTTGAAGAAGAGAAATATGAAGGTAAACAACATATTAAAAGTTCAATGAGAACAACAATTAAGATACATAAAAACCTGCAACATTACAAAATTGGTGATCCAGTAGCTGTTAAAAGAACCCAAATTTTACCAATATCAAAAATTGCTAAGAAATACTTAGGATCCTATCGTTTGACTGGTTACTGCGGACATAAAATGTAAGCTGTGTTCAAATTAGGTACTCATGAAACACCAATCAAAACTACTGAAGTATCAGACTAAATGAACCATTTGAAACAAGACAGTTCTGATTCAGAGCTGTATATTATTGATGAAGAAGATGCCCCTTTCGAGACGGTCTTAATTTAAAGAAAGGTGTATTGTAGAATTTATTCATTTATATATACTATTACAACAATGTATGCAAGACTTTTATACAATATTTTTTTTATATAGAGTGATCAGTAAATAAGGAAATGGATTTCTGTTGTTCTCATTGTATGTTATAATTGACCTGTTTCCTTACTTAATTAACATTCTGTATAAAATATACATTTTTTTCGAAAAGCAAAGAATTAAATCTGTTTTAGTCCTACATCTATATATACTAAAAAATAACTAATTAGCTAAATAATACTAGCCTTCCGATCTTTCAATTTTTACTACTTTGTCTTTCACTAGTGAAGCTATATTAAAAAGATTTTCTACCGTATATGTAAGACTAAATGGATCAAATGCAAATTTGTAAAACCCAACTGGTTTTCCATTATTAGCTGCAACAGCACATTTTAAACAATTAACTACTCTCATAAGAGTTTGTTGTAATACATTGTCTCCAGATTCACTGTCTACCTGTAATTATATTTTTATTTATTAAAAATATTATAAAAAAAAAAATATTGACTGGTGTATCCCAAGGTTAGCTCCCATTTTCAAGCTAACTTAACATTAAAGGTAAAAAACACCAAAAGAAAGAAAATTATTTTTTTGGTGTTAGACCCACTCCTATAGATTAATTCTAATATTAATAACCAGAGTCATAAAGATTTTTTAAGAATTATTTTCTTAAACAAGTGTATTGAATATGTACATAAAATAGCCATTAACTTTAAAAGTAACTTATATTTAAGTAATTTTTGAAATACTATCTCTATATTGTTTATACCAAACACATAATTAAGTTAGCACTTATATGTTTTATTACAAAACTTTTTAGGAGGATCATTTAAATATCTTATCCTATAAGATATAAGTTTCTATTTATTGAAATTACTAACTGATTTAACTGTATAGAAATAAAAAAACCCAGCACAGGGGGGTCGCGGCACAGTGGTGACGTGGTATAGATGGATTAAGTATAATGATATCTGACAGTGATTAAAATCACTATCAAAAAAAAACGCTTCGATGCAAATCTTTAGATAGTATTTAATTTTAAAAAATTGGTGGACTATTCCAAAAGCTACATTATCTGCTAGTTCATTATTAATATCCTAATTAAGATAAAGTATGTAGAATGAAAAAGGGATTATTAAAAAATATTATTTCTCATAAAAAAATAATGTTGATCCATACACTTTTCAATATGTCATAGCATTATAAAGTTAAAAATTTAAAAAATAAAATCGAGAATTTTCACACAATAATAGCATTCGGTAGCCATTTTCACCGTGAAGATAAAATAAAGTTCGAAATTTTTTTTTCGCATAATAAAGTAAATTACATTAGCTTTAATTTAATATATATATAAAAGTGTCAGACTTTCCGGAACACTTTCAAAATTTAAGTTGAAAAAGTCAATTTTTTGTGAAAAAGTTGTCATTTTGAATCCCCCCCTGTAGGCAGGTCAAAAGTCAGATTTATAAAAAAAATATACCAAATGATAGGTAAAGACATCATGCATCTACAAAAAAAAGAATTATATTGATCCATACATCTTTCGAGAAGTTATAGCATTATAAAGTTAAAAATATAAAAAAGAATTTTTTTACAAAAATCGTATTTTTTTTATTAAGTTTAATGTCTGTTTTCACCATGAAGATAAAATAAAGTCCGAAATTTNTCAGCTTCGCATCGAAGCTAAAATGTATACATTACCACATCAGGAGTAACTTGGGCTTCTAGTTGTCGCTTCTGAGATCTTCTAATTTCTCTTTTTACTTGAGTTTCTGTCATTGGCTGTGACTCATTTTCTTCTATTTTAATATTACCATACACGTGTAAGTCAAAATAATTAATATTTTTTACAACACCTTTAAAAAGATTGTCTATATGAACCAAAGGATCTTCTTTACCACTACACGATTCAATCTAGTTTAATTAATAACATATTAAGTTAATAAAATTATTATTATATTAAATATATTGACATGCAATTTTATCTATGAAGGTGTTAATATCAAATGTGTTGTCCATTTCACTAGTTTCTTTTTCCATTAGCCAGCTACAAATACGATAAGACTCTTGAGTCATTTTAAGGGATAATGCCTTATATGGTACGTAACACGATTCTAGAACATATTGCATTTAAACATAAATTAACAAAAATTAAACTAGGCAAAATCATAACTACCCAGAGTACTTACTCATTTTCTCTGATGTTATTTTATTTTCAAGGTTTACCATTATTTTCATTTCTTTGTCCATATCTGTTAAATCATCGACTCCCAAAGTTTTATCAACAACTTTAATAAAAATAAAATATTTATTAAATTGTTTTTTAATAGAAAAAATTCATTGAAAAAATGGAATCAATCCAACAATAAACATATACACCATGACACCTAAATGCAGCATGATCATATTTATACTATATTTTTTTAGTGTATTTTATTTTAGTCAGAATATCAATAATAATACTATTTTACAGTTTCATATTTAGTTTTTACATTATGATAACCAAAGCTCAGAACTTAAATGCTAAAAAATACCAAAATAAGCACATAAAAATGCATTAATAACTAGTTAAATATGCAATAAAATATAAGCTAAAAAATTACCAATTTAAAAATCGCTAATTTTTGACACTTTTTCAATTTCTTTTACTTAAAACTGCCATTATATTTTTAGAAATGACCAAATCAATAAAAAAATTTTTTTTATAGATTTATGAGGTATTTACCTATCAATTTGTATATTTATTTTTATAAATTTGACCCTTTACCTGCCCACAAGGGAGGATTCAAAATTACAACTTTTTCAACTTAACTTTTGAAAGTGTTCTGGAAATACTGACACTTTTATATATATCTTAAATAAAAGCTTATATAATATACTTCAATATAAAAAAAATAATTTCGGACTTTTTTTGTTTTCATGCTGAAAACGGACATCAAAGTTGATAATTTAAATACAATTTTTGTAAAAAATTACAATATTAAATTATTAAATATCATTATCATACTATATGTAATTGCTATAATAATTATTTATTCATATATTACACTTATAAATCATAAAACTTGTAATCAGGATATAAATAAGGAAATAGGAGATCATGTTGCTTTTTATATAATCCATAATTTTTTTTTAATTAAACCCTATCTACAGATTTGCAACGAAGCATTTTTTATGATATTGATTTTAATCACTGTCAGATATTATCTATACTGGAACTAACTATGCTATGTCTCCACTGTGCTAGGTTTCTTTTTTTAATAATAGAATTTTGATATCATTGAATTCATATTTTCAAGAAGAATATAATTTTATATAGTTTATTTTTAAGTATTTTGATTTATTTTTCTCTGAAATACTAATTAAGTGGTAGCACATATCTAATTTTAAATTCAATTATTAGTGATTTAAAATTAATTTAAAAAAAAACAATTTTTTTTAGTGTCAACTAATATTTTACATATTATATAATATCTCATAAGAAAATAATATAAATAAAAAAATATATTATATATTATTTAATAATATATAAATTACTTTTTAATCTCTCCCAAAAAATTGATCAAATGTCAGATACAAATTATTGTCAAATTAGTATTTTAGCTTCGATGCGAAGCTGAGAAGGTATTGGTTTTACTAAGATGTGTTTTTTTTTTTTTTGTCTGTTGCCACTTTTTCTCAGCTCTCATAGGACCGATTTCTTTCAAAAATACGTCAAAAGATCACAAATCGTATCTAGTTGAAGACATTACCCTTAAAAATTGAAAAAAATTCCCTCGTTCCCCGCAAATGGGGGAAATATCCAAAAAAATTACAAATTTAGAAATCGCTAATTTTCGAAATTTTTTCACTTTTTTTTCTTAAAACTTCCATAACTTTTTGAAAAATCAACAAATCAACATAATTTTTTTTTATACTAAAACCTTAGATATTTACCTTTCATTTGATATCATTTTTTTGAAAATCTATCACTTAACCTGCTCATTGGGGGGGATTTAAAATGGCAACTTTTTTACAAAAATTAATTTTTTCAACTTAATTTTTGAAAATGTTCCGGAAAGACTGCGTCCTTTAAACATATATCAAATTAAAGCTTATTTTATGTACTACAAAATGAAAAAAAAAAATTTGTCCCGACGACCTATCTTCTATACGCAAATGGCTACCATATTCAAAAATATGCTATTTTTGTATGAAAATTATGGGTTTTGTATTTTATTTTAATAGAAGTTGATGTTGCTTTTGCAATTATCCAACAATTTTTTAAAATTAAACACTATCTACAGATTTGCATCGAAGCGTTTCTTATGATAGTGATTTTAATCACTGTCAGATTAAATCTAGACTGAACCCAACTATGCAATGTCTCCACTATGCCGCGACCCCACTGTGCTACCGTTTTTTTTTTTAATGTGTTAATAAAACAAAAATTTGATGACATTTCTATTCTGAGATGATAAAATATAATGTGTTGAAAATTTTAGATGTTAGTTATATTGGTTTAAACCTATTTCATAAAATATATGGAAAATGAATTTTATATTCTATTATATTATAATAGAATATAAAACTATTATTAAGTATAATACATATTTTTCCAATTAATATTGCTCTTTTATTACAAGAAGGGTTAAATAAAGGAGATCAAGTAATAATATTTTTGTACAAAAATTAATTTTATTAAAACTTTTCTTTTACTAAATATGCAAAAATATATTATAAATAACTATAATATACAATTTTGTTAAAAAATTATGAATTATGCAATACTATGTGAAACAAAATTTTGTCTGAAATAGGGGTATTATGAAATAAATTTGTATCAAACCAATTATCAATATGTTTTTTCTAACAAACATGAATTTGTCTAAAGTTCCAANCCAATTATCAATATGTTTTTTCTAACAAACATGAATTTGTCTAAAGTTCCAAGCTTTCATAATGATACGACCAAATATACGTGATCATATTGTAAGTATAATACTTGAAAGTATAGCCCACTAGGCTATAACATTGACATGTTAATACATGCTATTTAGGGGTTAAATTGCTTGAAAAAGCTAACTACGATATATCTGTCTTAGTTACTGAGGTTTTCTATTTAGTTTATATTATTTTAGAGGAACTACCAAGGGTCACACTACAATATATATATACATATATTTAGGACTTTTGGTTAGCAACGATGGTAAAATTTTATTGCAACATAAAAAAATAACTATGTTAAATTTAATTTAGTAAAAATTAAAGTAGTTGATGTAAAATTGAATTTAAATGGAATAAATAATTTACAAAATTATTTGTGATTAATTGGTATGAGTTGTTTTAATGAGTAGTTATAAAAATTAATTACGACTCAAAAGGAATAACACATTTAGATGCTTAGATGATAGTTCCTATCCACTTCATGAAAAACTGTGTGCATTTTATATCATTAATTTATTTTGCACTATGGTAGACTGAGATACTGGGAAGTTGGAGAAATTCATCAAGACCTATTATTTATATTTCAAAATACTATGTATAAACAAACAAAAAAATAGTGATATTGTTTAGTAGAAAGCCTGCGCTACTTAGACCTTGATAAGTTGGGGTCATTCCACCAGTGATCATGCTTGTTTCAAATCAAATTGAAAATTTCAATTACTAATTATTAATATATTAGGCAATGTTTTTCGAAAATAGTTTTTAATTACAAATACTATATCACTCATATTTTAAAGTTAAACTATCTAAGCCATATTAAAATATTACTTGTTATTACGTAAGCAGCAGATAATTAACCATTAGATACTTTAAACATTGTTCCTTGGGCCTAAACAAAAATTATTTTTTTTTAAAAGTTTTTCTTTGCTCATTGTCAAGTACTATTTTCTATATAAAAATGTGATGTAGCTTGAATTTCAAGGTGCTTTGGTTGGTCACAAAAGAAAAAATCAATTAATGTATAGACCCTATAAATATCTTAATATATACTTAATTTACAAAATTATATCTTTGTATCTTATTATTAAATTACAATTTAATAATATGAAAATTTTTTTAGAATTCTCAAAATAATGTTTTACTCTATATTTGGAATTTGTAATCTAACACCATTAATGTACAATACTTACAATCATTTAAATAACAACTAAATAATGATTAGTTCAAAATGTTTTAAATATAATTCGTAAAAAAATTAATTTTTTTATAAAGCCAACCTGTTATAAATTTTTGTATATTTAAAAATACTAACTTTTTTCATTCAAAATTTCAATCATATTTTGAACAGTCTTTAACTGTCTCTTAAATGCTTGAAATTCTTCTTCAGCCAAAGTCTCGTCTCCAGTTAAGTTAAGACTTGATCGTCTGTTCATATTTTGTTTTAGATATATAACAAATCACTATTGCATATAGCTAGTAGGTAAAAAAAACGGAATTTTTTCTCAAAAAATAATAAGACCAAATAGAACTGAATATTGTATAATAAAAGAATGTGAAAATATTACCTAACAGAATGTAACGTCGTGCGATATTTTTTGTAGCTATTTTGCTTTAGAAGCATTATAAATATTTTCGCGGTAAATATGTCAACGGATCTTATCATTACTACTCGCTATTTAAATTCAAAGAAATTTCATGATAAGATGAAACTAGGTTATATCTGACCGTTATTGATATAGTGTTTGAAGACAGGCTATGTGTCACCCTCTAGTGTTTAATTGAACTATTTTTATTTTTAAAGAATTATTATCAGTAAATAATTGATTATTCTCCATTTGATATTTATCATATTGTTTTAAAAAACCGTTATTGCATTAAATTCTACAATGTAACTGATTATCGTATTTAATTCAATTTTCTACTTTACATACACTTTAGCTAAAATTAAATAACACGAATTTTAAAGTTTATCCTTGTACAATTTATTACAGTATTTAAATAGTAGAATTACCAGAAATATTATTTTTAAAACGTATTATTTTTATAATAACATTAATATTTGGCAGAATTTTATAATGTTAATAAAAATTCTTAAAACAGTAAATTATTATGGACAGTAATCCAACTACTAGTGTAGATACAGATCATGAATGAATATCAATGGTATCATAAACTCTTGAGAGAAAAGATAGCATGTATTATATTTTGAGTAAAAATTGAAGAAAAAGAAAACATTGAATTTTGATGGGGGTTCCTACAACTCTATTTGTGTAACTGTTTATAAAATAAATGTGAGGAAACTAAATTGATATCATAATAAATTATTGTAATTGTAATACCTCTTCTTCAGAAATACTATTATAATTATATAAAGAACAAAAAAGTTCATTTATATCAAATAATTCTTGATAAATATTGAAGTATATTTGGCTAAAAAATAAATTTACTTAATGGAACAAATTACGATTTAGTATATAGAGTGAGATACTTATTAAGTTACTAACATTTTAATACATAAAATAAGTGTAACGCAGGTAGACTATGCGTTATAAATATACATTAGTACGAGCTGAACCTATTTGTGCTACATACCCACTTTGTGTATTAAAATGTTTTTAACTTATTTATTACTTGTCATAAGTTATTATAGGACCTATCAAAATTTTTTTGTAAGAAAATTTCTATAGAAACGGCTGTTTTGAAATAATAAAAATCTATTTCCTTTTTTTATTAAAAATAAATATTAAAAAAAAAAATGCTTTTGATTTGTCTATAAATACAAAATGTATTTAAAATANTTATTATAGGACCTATCAAAATTTTTTTGTAAGAAAATTTCTATAGAAACGGCTGTTTTGAAATAATAAAAATCTATTTCCTTTTTTTATTAAAAATAAATATTAAAAAAAAAAATGCTTTTGATTTGTCTATAAATACAAAATGTATTTAAAATAATAATAAAAATATAATTATTGATTAGAAAGTCATATGAGCTGTCAGTTAGATCTGTTTCAATCTGTATAGTACATCATAAAAATCGTTGAGTACGACTTAAAGAATATGAAATTTACAATTGGATAAATTTATCCAAGGGCGTCATTAAGATTATAAGAAACTGGGGTATATTTTTGACCGGTCCAATTTCACAAAGTCGCTCGCCACTTATTTCACTAATATAACCACATAACTAATTTTATACTAAATAAAAATTATAATTAATTATCATATAATATAAATTTCTGTTTAAAAATAATTATATACAAAAACATCTTTTTTCTACTCGAAAGTAGAAATTTTTATTTTCGTATAATGTCGGAATCGAACTCTAGACTCCGCTTAATCAACTACTGATTTTTACATTTATTAAGAAATTAAAAATAAATATAACAGAAAACTTTATACTAGTATAAAAATTACCATTTTTTTTTTTTATGCAGTGTTTAACCTAAAAATCTGCATAGTTACACATATTAAACACAGTCATTATTTTTTAATATTAGTCATAGACATAATATGCTTTAGGAATTTATAGGAATAATTTTATAACTATTATTTTAATCTGTTGAAGTTCTTCTAAAATAAATGGTGAGGTAATTATTAAAGTAAAATAAGGATAAGTTATATTAAAATGGATAGGATTCGCGCAGTAGAAGTAGAGACATCTTATGACATAAAACAGTGTAATCAATAACATCAGCTGTTTTTGAAACCACAGTTTTTAACATTTAAATACCTCTACAAACAATTATTAGTATTAATTAATCTAATGTAATGAAATAATTAATTTACATTTGATGTACTTGATTCAACTTTTTTTTGTTTAATTCTATTTATATAGTATAAATTTATTTAATCATAACTGACTTAAAAAAAACAATTGATTATTTTTTTTCAAAAAGGAAATTAAGCATTTCTATTTTTTAATTGAAATGAAAACGTTTATTTTACAATAATTATTTTATTTATATAGATATTACATTTTTATAAATGTGTATAACATGAATTGTGTTTTCCTATTTCCTAATAACATAAAGGAAACTTTTCCTATTTAATTATGAACATCATAAATTAATGATTCCAACAATTTGAAAATTAATATGTACTTAATTAAGATTAACAAAACTGCAAACAGGAAGAGGAAAAAATTAACACAATTCATTAATTTTACCCAAAATAATCGATACAAATATCGATGCAATTAATGGGTAAAAAGTATTTATTGCCAAAAAAACACACACACTCTAGGAGAAATTGGTGGGAAAAATTAAGCGAAAATAAAACACTGTACCTTATACAATATATGGGGTTCAATGCTACAGAGGTATCAAAACCTAAGTATTTCCATTGACTAGATGACGTATTAAAATTACGTAACTACATATGTATTAATCTTTCAAATATGGATTTCCAACATTCAACATTTTGTCCCTCAGTACTTGATGTTCTAACTTTTGGTTACCAAACATATGTTGTACATTTTGGTCCTTGAAATTATGGAATTGCTGCTGATTTGGCTGCACATAGTTTACATCTTGAGGCATCTGTGCATAAAATAAATTTGCAGGGAACAATGGGGGAGTTGGATCAATATTAAAATTGTATGAGTTAGGTAACGTGTTTGGTACAAACATATTAGGTTGTACAGGTTTAGATTGTTTAATTGGCTCTCGAACAGAAGAAAAAGCATCATTTTGACGAGTTTGTTTATCTTGGACCAAATTATACATAGGAAAGCTAACTTTATCTTGTGTTAAAGACAAATTAGCCAACCTTTCAATGTTTGTTTGGTGCTGATAAGGAAATAATCCATTAGGAGGAGGTACCAAAGGGCTTGGGTAAATCAGATTATTAAATTGAGGATTTAAATCTAAATTTAATGTTGGGAAAGCATTATTTCCAGCAATGTTGAAGTTGCTTGAATTTGCAGGCATAAAAGATGGTTGTTGTGGTTGCTGCTGCTGTTGTTGTTGTTGCTGCTGTTGATGCTGCTGTTGGGATTGCAACAATTGGTTAGGCAACATAAAGTCAGATTGGTGTGGCAACACTGGCTGAAATGGCTGGTAAACTTTTTGATTGGATTTTTGATTCCAATTGAGATTTTGTTGAATTTGGTTCAACGTAGGTGTTTGCTGAAGAAGATCTGACTCAACATTACTACTGGATGCACCAACTGGTAGGTCTGATAATAGTTGTTTATTATTAAGACCCAACCTATCACATATCTGAGTCATATTAGCCAAAAAATGCAGGTTGGATAGAAACTCTGGAGAGTTATTTGTTTCTAAAACTGAATTGGAGGATTTTGGAAGTACAGACTCTAAATTCGTGTACAAGCTATCTGTATTTGATTGAGATATTTGTGGTTCTGTATGTGATGACACAGAATAAGGAGAACTCTGACTCAAAGCCTCTAACAAATATCTATTGAAATCCGGAGCCGGCAGTGGTTTTTTCTCAATAAACTTAGGACTCTCTATAGGTTTAGGTTGTTCTTTAATTTGAGTAGTAATTGGCGCCCAAGAATCAGTCAAGCCAAATACGGAAGACTTTATTTCAGTTCGTTCAGGCTGAACGAGTTTTGAATCTATAATATCATCTTTGGTTTCAACTGAATCATTCCAAACAATAGAATTGCTTTTAGGACGATCACTACTCCAAATGTCTATAGACTCAGTTTTAACAGGCTCTGGTGACCAATTAGTAGATTCCCACTTATTTTTAGTAACACTGATACCCATATCACCATTCCACATATTAGATGGTTTTTTTTCTTCTTTTCTTTCCTCAGGCTTATTCCATCCTGATGTCAGCACACTCCAATCGTGTGGTTGAGGTTGAGGCCTTTGATCATCAATATCATTTGATCTTACATTCCTTTCTGGTTGGTAATTGTCTTTAATGAAAGTTTCTTTCCAATCACCCCGTTGTCTGAGTTTTTTCTCAGGTTTTAATGGACTATCAGTAGGAGAGGACTTAATTTCTTTAGGTTTATCTTTCTGATTATGTTTTGACTTATTTTTTGAGTCTTTACGCTCTTTAGATCTATTATTTTTAGATTCATCTTCCCATAGAGATCCAATCTTAGAAGTTTTATTAATCTTGTTGTGTTCTGATGTAAATCCGTAATCATCAGTTTCTTTAGAAAAAGAACTATTGTTCCAACAATTAATAGATCTATTTTCTTTGGGACCTCTCGAGTTTTTTTTATTTTGGGAGTTATGTTTTTTTTGAAATGTAACATCTTCTGAACCAATAACAACATCTTGGTCATTTTTCCTAAAAAAAAAAAAATTTTAAATTAATAATTGATTATTAGAAATGTATATAACTTTAGTACCAATTGTTCTGACAATACTATAATATACTTATAATAGTCCATATACTTATAATAAATTTATACTACAAAATAATTTGTAGCAAAAACATTAAAACTAATAGTATGTTGAAAGGTAACAATTAAAAAAAGAAAAATTTGATGATAAACTTATGAAATGGTTTTTAAATAAATTATGAATGGTAATTTTAATAATAATTTTCTAATTAAAAGATAAAATTAAATAAAATTTTTAAGAAACATTGGTAATGCAACACTTGACATTAGAAATAAAACAGTCCAATTCTCATAAGTGCATAATTGAGGCAATAAGATAGTAAAGGTATTAAGTTCAAAATATTTAAAATTTTTGTTTATTCAGAAAAAAAAAAAAGTACAATAAATAAATAAAAATCTTAATAATCTTGTAGAATAATTTAAATTTAATTTGTATAAAAAAAAAATGTGTTACAAGTTTAAAAATTTAAACATATGCCCGCGTACTGACAAATATTTCAAAAATATGTTATAAGAAATATAATAATGTTTTTAAAAGCAATGAAATTATATAACAATTTTTAATAGATACTGCATCTTAATATTTTTATATATTTTTTCAAAAATTTATGCTTGGTTTGGATTGCTAGTAAATCATTACTTAAAACAATAATTAATATTTCTTTACTGTATTTTATTTAAGTATTTTTTATATGAGATAAAAATTAATTTACCACATAGAGTCTTTGGAGCGAGAATGTTCTTCAGCACTTTTGATGCTTTCAGCAATTGCCATTTTCAACATTTTTTCTTCTTCATTATCATCCTTGCTTTTAGCGAACAATTCGGATCCTTTTTTTCGTGCCCATGCATTAGTTGTAACAGCTAAACCAGATTTTTTTTTATATAATAATTAAGAAATTGCCAAAAAATATAAAGAAACTCACGGAATGTTGGCGTAGCTTTGATTGGTTCTGAGCTAGATACATTGTTACCTGATCCATATGTGCAAACAAACTCTTCAATATTAATCATTTTACTTTCTTTCTTAGGCTTTCTTTTAGATTTTGATTTTTGAGAGGACCTAGAAAAAAAACGGCAATCTATCAAATAGTCAAAATTTTTAATTATTAACATAATCAATAAAATGATCATTTAAACTTATAAAATTCATATGTTTAATATTCAATTTACTTGTTGATAGTTAAACCAAAACTTAACAAAATCAAGCTTTTATACAATTGATATAAACTTCAAATATAAGTTAAAAAATACTAGCTTAATTAACCTTATAACAAAAAATTAATAATAATAACTAACAATAATAAAATGAAATTGTTGTAATAAAATCCCTATTTATACTTTTTTAAAATATAGAGTGATTCTGTTATAGTAAACGACTTAATTGAAAAAGAAAAAGTAATATTGAGGACTTTTTATTTCTTTAATTTAACAAATTTTTTTGTAATATTTAAATATTCAGCAGCAAATACAATGACACAGTTATGGGGGTGATGATGGTGATAGACCCCCTAAAAGAAATCTATTACTACGCCACTGCACCAATACTAGGTGCATTCTCAGGGTTTATATTAGAGGAGATATGTATGAAAATTTTTTTTAACTGTTCCAACTAATTATATTCTTATATAATTATTTTTATTATGAAAAGGCACTATCTCTATATTATCCTGCCTAAAATACCTATAATTAAAACAATACCATAATAATTACATTAATTTAAGACACATACCCAAAATATTCCACAGTATCATTGGCTTTTTTATTTCCTCCCGCAACTCTTCTATTCTGGTTATTAGGAGCTTTATTATTTTTTCTGTAAAAATAAGAAAAATTAAAAACAAAACAAAATATTATTTCATAAGAAATACCCTTCTGGTGCATTATTCTTCCATTCCATCATGGAAGAATTCTGAAGTCTAAAAGACTTCAAATTTTATAATGAGATATTCTTGTGTTCAAAAAAGAATTCTTTAAATCAACCTGAAAAAGAAATGTTCATTGTTTAAACTGAACAAAGGAATTATTTGTAATTAATAAATATGTGGTATTAACTGTATTTCATTATAGTATATTATATTAGTATAAAATATAGTAGAAGGTAAGGTATGACCTTTATAAAAATTATTGACTAGTTGTTGCAATTTAAGTAAAACTTTTATAGATTGATTTCAAAATGAACACATTGATTTACTTTTGCCTTTAGAATGGTATCTTTAAGAAATGTAAGTAAATACAAATCTAAAACTAAATATGCTGCTATATATTTTTGATTCTACTAAAGTAACATTTTATGACGGGCATGATCTAACAAAGGTAAATCTTTACTCTACGAAGTTATAAGTTTTTCTGTTATAATAAATAAATAACTATTTGATTCTACATATCAAATCACTAATGTTGCAATCAAAAAGTAAAATACCAGATTTCATACCCTAAGTATTAAAATTTACAATATTTTAAAAAAAATTACAATTTTTTTATAAACTATTGATTAGAACTCAATAAAAAAAAACAAATTCATAAATGTAATTATATTCTACTTATTTTAAACTTTTGGCTGGAGTAAATTGTTACACTAACTGACACAAGAACATTAAAAGGAATCTTATCATGATAGAAGTTACTTAACAAGACAAAAATCAAGATTTATTAAATTTTGATACTGCATTATTTCTGATATTCTTATCAAGTAAATTACTTTTGTATATTAGAATATTAGTTCTAAAAATATTTATAGCTATATAAATAAACAATAGTAAACTACATTTATCTTAAAATTAATGAATTACAAACTAAAAATAAAGAAACTAAATATTGCACCAACATTTTAGAGAAATTAATTTATAATAAAATACATATAGTTTAACAAAAACTTAATATTTCATAAAATTTTTAATTTAATAAAATAAATTGTAATAGTAGATTTAAAAATTAGAATATTTACAATAAATTAAAATTAATGTCAAGTAAACGATTTGATGTTTATTAACAGGGGATGTTAATTTAATACTTAATATTTTGATAATAGCGTTTAGTATAATTTGCAAGATAACATCGAGATTAAAGATACAAATATGTAAATAATTGCGTACTTACAATTTTACGAGTTCCAATTAAGAACAGGTAATGTTTTTTCTGCGACGTTTCGAAGGGGGTACGTCGTTTGGCCGGTTTAGGCTCTATTGTTTGCAAGCTCCACCAACGATGAAGGAGGCAGTAATAGAAGCTAAATAAAACAAATAGAAAATTTAATTCTAGAAAACAAAGTAATTCGATTTTTTCAACTGCAAATATAAAAATTAACTCTTCGTAGAACTAAGTGCAGTGTTATTATTCAAAGCGAATATTTTCCCTGTTAATAGTTTTTTTGTCCCCTTCTCGCTTCTTCCCTTCATTGTCGTTCGACGGCGGGTCTTGTCGGGAGGAATTCATTACAAAATTTTAACAGTGCGGCCAACTCCTTTAAACATTTTGCAGGGCGCCAATGGTAAAAGTCGCCCGCCCGCCCACCATTAAACATTTTTACTTACAAACCGTAGCCAAGTTGAACGATATCGGATATCGTAGTAAAAAGCGAATTTCTATGTTCGACGTGATACGATTTATATCAAAATATTTATGTACAATCAACATTACAGATAAGAGCATTGAATTTATTGCTATGAAACACGATTATAGAAATGAAAAACTATTATAAAATGATTTAATTATCTGTTAGATTTATCAAGATAGAAAAAATCTATTTTTTTTTTATGATAGTAAAATTACATGTAACAGGTTTTTTTTATGAAATGTATTTATGATATTCATCTATTAAAATTATTTCATAAAACAAATATTGAACTTGATAAGAATTGGCTCATGGTACGATTTAAAAGGATATAGCTTCTTCAAGTTTAAAGAAAAACTATTCATATTTAATTTAAAAAATAACTTTAGCCTGTTAGATATGTAAGTGGCCATTAAAAAAGTAAAGTTATGAGACATAAATGTATAATAATGAATAAAAAAATTTATTTTTAAAAAAGAAAAATTAGTATAACTTTCATTTTTTAAGAGTGTTTTTCGATAAATAAATAATTTAATATGTTAGGAGGATGAAAATAATACTTAATTTTTATCAAAATTGAAAACCTATCTATTTTTATAAATATTTGATGAATGAGTTTTTTTATTTAATTTAAATTCACATTCATGTAAAAATTGAATGTACTCGTGAATTTATTCATTTTATACCCTGATAATATATGGATAAAATTTAGGATGAGGGTTGAAAACCTAAGGGTTTTCAAGGTTATCGAATTAAAAATATTTACTCTTAACATAGTGTGTTAGCGATAAAAGGAAGGCTAATAAAGATCTAAAATCCAATTGGCAATGTCTGGGACGGGACTGATTGATTTTTTTTTATATGGTCTCAAAACCTGTTTTAAGATAAGTTTTTTGTTTTTTAAGTTTATTTTATAAAATTTATACTAAAGTTCCTTTGTTCATTTGATTTACTTAATAAGTACGAATGTGTTAAAATATAGTCAAATTAAAATTTACCACTTCTTAAAAGTATTTTTATATTCTAACCTAATATTTTTTTGCTTAAGAAGGAACATCACTTAATTATCATTTTGGTCAAAATGTTCATAACACTGTTATAAGTAAAATTTCGCAGGAATCGAATAATAAACTCAGATTTTTGTTCAAATCAATATATAGCTCACTAATTAAAAAAAAAAATTACGACAGGTATTATCAATTTCGCAGAAAACAGTTTTTATGCTCTCTTGTAAAATTGACAAGAATGAGATAGGTAGCAATACCACCTAATTTTTATGCGAAGACAAAGTTTTACTACCTTCAGGAACGCCGGAATTGTTTTTTTACACGATGGGCAAAAATTTAACAATTAAAAATAAGTAGTCTTGATTATTATAAAGCTAAAAATCGATTAAAGCTTTCTTTGGTGATTTTTAATGATCACTTAAGAATAATCCGGTAGTTTGTAAACTTTACTTCTTGATAATGCACATTATTTTATGTTATGTTATTAATAATTATTGATAATACAGAAAATACAGTATGTCGTACTTGATTTTGTTTAATTGAAAATTAATTTTTCATAATTATACTTAATAATAATAATAAATTCAATTTTTTAGCTAAAATTTTTATTAAGTATAGGTCACACCAGTATTTAAGAAGTTTTATTGTTTAATTTTACATTATTGATAGGTCGCCACGTACATAACAATTCCAGCTAAAAAGTTTAAAAACTTGTTGATTCTTACGAGCGTGTTATGTATAAAACATAGAGATCTTAAAAATATAACAACTTTTTTATGTTAATGTATTATATTATTATGTATTGTGAAAAATAATAAAATAGCCATAAACTTAATTTTTTCAAAGAAAAAAAAAATCAGCAATAAAATCATATATTTTATTCATTTTATTAATATAAAAAAAATTGTAATGATGCACATAAAACTTTCTATTTTTAATTATTTTACAAAATTTTAACAATGTATTAAATTTAATTTGCTCATTAATAGTTTTTAGCTTCGATGCGAAGCTGAGAAAGTATTAATTTTACCATGATGTGTTTTTATTATTATTTTTTTTTTATTCTGTTGCCACTTTTTCTCAGCTCTCATAGGACCGATTTCTTTCAAAAATACGTCAAAAGATCACAAATCGTATCTAGTTGAAGACATTACCCTTAAAAATTGAAAAAAATTTCCTCGTTCCCCGCAAATGGGGGAAATATCCAAAAAAATTACAAATTTAAAAATCGACAAATTTTGTCATTTTTTTCACTTTTTTTTCTTAAAACTTCCATAACTTTTTCAAAAATCAACAAATCAACATAATTTTTTTTATACTAAAACCTTAGATATTTCCCTTTCATTTGATATCATTTTTTTGAAAATTTAACATTTAACCTGCTCATTGGGGGGGAATTAAAATAGCAACTTTTTTACAAAAATTAACTTTTTCAACTTAATTTTTGAAAATGTTCCGGAAATACTGCGTCCTTCAAACATAATCAAATTAAAGCTTATTTTATGTACTATAAAATGAAAAAAAAAATTTGTCCCGACACTTTATTTTCTACATTTAAACGGCTATCGTAGTTAAAAAAATACTATTTTTTTTTTAAATTTTCAACTTTATTTTTCTAAACTTTTATTTTAAAAATTATTTTTTATATTTTTAACTTTATAATGCTATAACTTTTTGAAAGATGTATGGATCAATATAATTCTTTGTTCAATTACCTGACCAAGGGGGGGATTTAAAATGACAACTTTTTCACAAAAATTAACTTTTTCCACTTAAATTTTAAAATGTTCCGGAAAGTCTGACACTTTTATCTATATCTTAAATTAAAGCTAATGTAATGTACTATTTTATTTAAAAAAATTTCGGACTTTATTTTGTCTTCAGGGTGAAAATGGCTACCAAATGCTATTTTTGTGTAAAAATTCTCGATTTTGTATTTTACATTTTTAACTTTATAATGCTATAACTTTTTGAAAAATGTATGGATCAGCACAATTTTTTTATGAGAAATAAAGTTTTTTATAATCCCTTTTTCATTCTTTATCTTAATCAGGATATTAATAAGGAAATAGCAGATCATGTAACTTTTGGAATAATCCATCAATTTTTTAAAAATAAACACAAATTTTGAACTTTTAAGATTCATAGAATGGGATACTGCCTAAGGAGGAGTGGAGGGAGCCCCCCCCATAATATTTCCATGGGAAACAAATTATGGAAAATGATACAAGGGCCCAAAATTGTTGGCACCTCCAATAAACATTTTCTGGCTACGTGCCTGTACATCCATCGATTCGTAGTGAGAAAAAAATAACTTAAATAGATAAAGAATTATGCTATTTGATATTAAAACAGTATATCATGATCTTTGTTACCAACTGTCAAATATAAAAATGCATTATCATAATTTAAAAAATACAAAAAATTTTATAAATAATTAGAATTGAAACTGATACTGTATGTATAAAATGTATCAGCAATACCATTTCAGCAACAGTTTGAATTGCGCGGCGCGACGTAAATTTTTTTATTTAAGTACCTACACACATATAAATATTTTTTTTAGTATAATTAAATAAATAAAATTCGATTACTACATCATCGAGAATACTTTTTCTAATGAATTAATGCAAAAAAACAAAAAGAACAGAGTATATAACAAAATTTGTTAATGATGGTTGAAAACTTTGAAAGTTCATAACTTAACATAAAATGCATTTAAGCCAATTAAATAATTAGATCTTAATAACCATTTAATACTTTTTAACGTGTAAAAAATGTGATTTGCAATCATTTAATTTTAAATTTTTATAAAGTAAATGAATGGATAAACATTTATATTTCATGATTTTAAATATATTAGAAAACTTTACGTCCTACGCCAACGACCATACCACGTTGAATATACCAGTTCACGTCCGATCACTGAAGTTAAGAACGTCGGGCGTAGTTAGTACTTGGGAACACTACGTGCCGTTGGCATTTTTTTAGTTTTTATTTTCACTTTTTATTTTACAATCACACTTTTAAAAAGACTTAGGGTAAGCACTATTTATCATGAAATGAAGTACACCAGGAAGTTTAATTTTTTCTTTTTGAATTAGGATTACTTGGAATACTTGGATGGGTGACCGCTTGGAAACACTGCGTGCCGTTGACATATATTTTTAGTACTTTTATAGCTTTTTACTTATATTTATAATAACTTAAAAAATGGTTTGATGAACATTTGTAAATTTTTAATCTAATGGACTATTTTTGAAATTATCTTCTTTTTTTAACATGTAAATTAAAAAATGAATCCGTATCATAAAATGAAAACTATTCCTTATAGTATTAAGACATGAGCGCATCAATTATTTTTTTACAATTGAAAACACATTATATTACAATTAAATATTTTATTACAAAATTCGAATAATTATTTAAAAATATTTTATATTACAAAAATTATAACATATTTTATCACTAGATTCAAAGTATTACAAGTATTAAGTAATCCAAACACTAGTTTCTAACGTAATTTGTTCAAATCTGTGACAAATCATGACTAGACTAGTAAAATACGAGAATAAGGGTCCCACTAGATAAGCTCGTTGGCCACGGGGCGTCACTTTCCCCTTAATTCGGATTGATAATTGGCGATAGAGTTGCAATAACATATAGTGTTTCTCCATGCATAAAATTTTTTAGAACTTTTGATCTTTTAATATAATATTGTATAAATAATATTAATATAATAACCCCCTAAAAATTCGTTTTGCGTTAGAAATTAAATAAGAACATTTTACAAGTATTTATATTCATAGGCCAATAACATTAGCTGCACTCATTTTCACATATTTATTTGCAGTTTTGTTTCTATGATTACATAACTTATTATTAAATAATCAACATTGTTTCTAAGAAAATAACTGCACTCCGTAATTTTACTTCCTAACATATTTTACTAGATAATTAATTTTTTCACGTTTTTTCGCAATATTTGATTAAATTGATAATATTTTTGTAGAAATGGAATGCGTGAGTGATTTTGAAGAACCGTTATTATTAGAACACAGAACATACTTTCCATCTATGGGAAGAACAAATCTCAGGTATCCGCCACCGTTGCCTGTTGAAAACGAGCCTGGCCGGAATAATATCCCACCAGCGCCAATCAGTCTTACAATAAAAAAAAATGAAATGTTCCTGATGCTTCAATGGGAGATGGAATTAAAAAAACGCCATGAGGATATTTGTTATTATNTAGAATTAAAAAAACGTCATGAGGACATTTGTTATTATGAACTATATTATTGGAGTAATCTTTATGAAAACTCTCCCTATTGGATTCTCATAAATGATATTCCATCATCTTCAAATCCAATGCAATACTTTTTGGCTGGATACATACCAGGATACAAGTATTATTTTGCTGTGAGAGCCGTTGATATTTATGGCAGACGTGGCCATTTTATCAAAAAATTCATAAGACTTTAAATAATTATTAATACATATAATGAAATGGATAATTTTTCTTTCTTTTTTTGCTCAACATATTACTTTATTTAATATTTAAATTTTCAAAAAAAATATTTGTTTCTACATATCTAATACACAATTCTTCGAATTTCTTAATTATATTTTCAAATAATTATTTAAAATTTTGTTATAAACACATCCTATCATAACTTTATGTGTTTTCAGTTATTATTTTATGTCAATATTTAATAAAATAAATTTCATGTTTTGAATAAGCATATTAATAAACGAAGAAATAATTTAAAAATATTATTCTGATATTCAGTTATTGAAAAAAAAAATTGTAATGCTTTTTAAGAAATTTAAACATTATTATATATGTTATGTAATAATATCAAATTTGAATGTATAATAAAATAACATATGTATAAATATATTGGTTATTTATAAAATATATCTTTGTCTCTTATGTTAAACTTAATTTTTTAATATACAAGGTGATTNTTTCTTATGTTAAACTAAATTTTTTAATATACAAGGTGATTGAAATCTGGTAAGACACTCATTTTCTCAGAAAATATTGAGAATTTTAAATTTTATTATATGTTAAACTTAATTTTTTAATATACAAGGTGATTGAAATCTGGTAAGACACTCATTTTCTCAGAAAATATTGAGAATTTTTAATTTTATTATAGATAAAAAATATCAAGTTCAAAAAACTCTACTATAATATGTAGTCAAACCATTATTTTTTTCGTCCCTTCAAGGAANTCAAAAAACTCTACTATAATATGTAGTCAAACCATTATTTTTTTCGTCCCTTCAAGGAAAAAAACCCTTATTTATAATTTTCTTAAATGGGAACCCTTATTTTTAACTTTATAATATGATAAAAAAAAAATTACAAACAATATTTTTCTTATAATTTTTTTTATCCGATTAACGGATCGTCCGTTACAGCTTGTTAAAGTTAAGTGATTTTTTGCCAAATTACTATTGTCATTTTACTATATTAAACACAGAAGTCATTGTTTTTATTTGCTGTTGCATAAACCAAATTTTATTGATCATGTTATGACAGGTAAATTAGCTATAAAAATGTACCACACACTAAATGAGTGATTACAATAATAGATTCAAACTGGGTTTTCGGTGTAATATTAATAGCTAAGTCTATGGTTTTGTAAGACTAAAGGATCTAACAAAAATAGCGGTTGCACTGCCACCGATATTATGAAACATAATAAATGACAGCATTTTTCCTGGAAGTCAAAATCTTTAAGCAATTATAAAACGTAAACGGTTGTTCGGATCAGAAAAAAATGATTTGTAATTCTTTTTTTCTATCTTATTATCAAAACAAAATTAGTGGTTCCCATTTAAAAAAATTATAAATAAACTTATTTATCCCTGAAGGGATAAAAAAAAATTTTTTAACTTCATATTATTGTAGAGTTTTATAAACTTAATAATTTTTCTTTTTACAAAAATTTTAAATAATCAATAGTTTCTGAAAAAATAAGTGTCTTACCAGATTTAAATCACTCTGTAGATAATTTAATGATAAAGCAACCAAATAGAAAATATCCCTTATAACCTAAAGCAGTATAGAAGTTTATCGTAGGGAAACGGTCATTATATCACGTATGCTATACAATATAAATAAGATAGAAAACAACCGTGCACTTGCCAACGACCATACCACGTTGAAAGCACCAGTTCTCGTCCGATCACTGAAGTTAAGCAACGTCGGGCGTAGTTAGTACTTGGATGGGTGACCGCTTGGGAACACTGCGTGCCGTTGGCAATTTTTTAATTCTTTTTTACTTTTTGTTTGGTTATATTTCTTATAAACTTGATATCTAAATAGAAATTTAACTTCGTGTAATCAGTAATTTCGTATATTTTAGTTAAAAACGATGAACACACTATACTACACTTTATCAATAACAGCTAATATTAAGTATAAACTGTTGTATTTTTGTAAATAAATTTTATCATCTTATTTATGCTATCGCAAATACATAATTTATTTATACTATATTGTAAAAGTGTAAAAGAAATTCATTTTTAAAAAAAAAATGCCAACGGCACTAGTGTTTCCAAGCGGTCACCCATTCAAGTGTACTAACTACGCTCGACGTTGCTTAATTTCAGTGATCGGATGAGAACTGGTTTCATTCAACGTGGTATGGTCGTTGGCCAGTAAAAGAATCGTTTTCTATCTTATTTATATTGTATAACGTACATAATTATATAACAAAACTTGAAATTTATTAGAACAATATATATCATTTACATTGCAGATTATTACATACATTTTTTTATAAGTAATGAATTCCTTAAATTATGTTATAAAGTATTTTCCTTTAATATCTGAACATTTGAAAATTTTTGATTTGTTATTTTAAAATTTCTCATATGATTATTTAAAATCATATTAACTTTGTATAATATTTTAAACGTATAGGTAATATACGTTAAATATAAATATAGTTACATTTTAAGTAGTGTAACTCTTAACACTAAATGGAAATTTTTTAGCTTCGATGCGAAGCTGAGAAGGTATTGGTTTTACTAAGATGTGTTTTTTTTTTTTTTGTTTGTTACCACTTTTTCTCAGCTCTCACCGAACCGATTTCTTTCAATGATATGTCAAAATATCACAAATCGTATCTAGTCGAAGACATTACCCTCAAAAATTGAAAAAGAATCCCTCGTTCCCCGTAAATGGGGGAAACCTCCAAAAAATTACAAATTTAAAAATCGCTAATATTCGAAATTTTTTCAATTTTTTTTACTTAAAATTGCTATAACTTTTTTAAAAATAACCAAATCAATATAATTTTTTTTTATATTTATATTTATTTTTTTTTACCATAATAAAGTATATTACATTAGCTTTAATTTAAGATATATATAAAAGTGTCAGACTTTCCGAAACATTTTCAAAATTTAAGTTGAAAAAAATAGTTTTTTATATATTAATTTGTGCAGTTAATACTTTAATAACGTTTAATTAAAATCGTACAATTAAAATACTAATCATATTAATAAATCCTCGATAATTCTATGGTTTTAACTATATTATTTTTTGTTAGGCATATTGCTAAAAAAATATTTTACGAGTTGGATATATCAGAAGTAGTTCAAAAAAATTTTATAAACGCACAATCCTACTTATAAGAAAACAAAGGTTTTTTAATTCTGCAAAATTACAATTATGGACTTTAACTATTCTGCTTCTTAGATAGTAATTATTAAGATACTTTTTACTTATGTTTTTCTGTAAAAACCATTAAATCGTTTTTTGATAGTAATTTATTATGATTTACAAATATATCACATTTTATGGTTTTCCAGTAAAATAGTAGTAATTAATAATATTATAATACTATAATAGTATATGTTAGCTACGATGCATATCTGAGTAGTTATCAATTTGACCACAGTCTTCGTCTTCTTTTTCCTCGCCTTAATCAGAACTACTTGGGTCGGCCCACTCTTTTCCTAAACTTCCACTCGACACGATGACCCACATCATCTACGCTCACATCAGCCATCCTCATTCGCATTAATTTGACTAGTGTTTTTTTTTAATAATTATTATTTTTCATTTGGAAATACAAATTCTAACTTCTACTGAACGAAAATTTAAATAAAATAATAAAGAATCAATAAAAATTTGTTTTAATAATAATAATAAATAAATAAATCATTAGAAAATTGTCATTTATGGTTTTATTCATCAAGCAATGCGTCATATATTTATTTTATCTTTTTGTACATTTATAACAGATATAGTATTTATTAATAAAGGAAAAAATTCTAATAAAAAATTATTTTAGTAGAATGTTAGCTACAACCTTAATAAGATTATACAGCTAATACCTCACAATTTATAGTAAATTATTTATTAAAATTAATTTAAAAGTGTACTATTTATTTATAATAATGTAAATCAGAGACGTGTCTAAGACTAAAACTTAGGATAGGTATGGTGATAATTATTATAGTTTGAATATATAGTATCCTAGTCTAACCTCTCCAGAGACCTTTTGATAACGTATATTAATAGGTGTGATCCAGACCTGCTCGACCTACCCTCTGTGCACGCCACTGCTGCAAGTATTTTAATTTATGAAAACCAAATAAAAACTTACTCAAAAATATTACAGTCAACCATTTCATTTAATGTATACAATTTTATTATTATAAATAAATTAGTTATTCATACATTATTTGTAGGTAATGATAACATTTTGGAAAAACACTTATTGTTAATATAATAAGTTATAATATAATATTCAAAAACATATTTTTTATCCATTTTATTCTTAACTTTACAAAAAAATAGTATAAATTATAATATAATTATTACTATTATTATAGTATTTGTCTAGCTTAAGTTATACATAATCCTACCTATAATTATTTATAATTTTTGATAGGTATATGTTATAGAGTGATGATAAAAAATAAAGTAACTCATAGGAATAATCTTATTTGTTCTAATAGGTAGTGTTTTAACAATAAAAAAAATGTTAAAAATGTTAAATAAAATAACTATAAACTAACTAAAAAGATAATAACAAGCATGATGTACAATACACCAGAAGAAAGTGAGTAAAAATTATAGCTTATGACAATTGTTTTCTTTTTTTTCTTATTATGAGTGTTAAGATGTTCTTTAAAATAAGGTTTACTATTTTGCTAATTTATTGTCATTTTTATAAAATGTTTTTGACTTTATGTGGCATAATGTTTATAAACAAAAATGGTAAAATTGATTTAATTAATTTCATGTTACTATAACATAATATAATGATGTTCAGTTATGATTTTATTTTACTCACTTCATCGTTTTACATATTTTTTTATAAATTAATAATCTTACTTATAATACGGCTAACTTAATACATTTTATTTCTTATAATATAATAAAAAAAAAAAAGCGCTAAACATAAGTCGAGGGTAATTACAATGTACACGTTTTTATTCGATAATGAGATTTGGCGGTACTGTAAATGTCAAACATGACTAACAAAAATAAGCTTGTTTTGACTAGAATGACAAATTAATTGTTCGAATTTTTAAGTGAATAATGGATATGTGTTAATAGCAGATGGATTTGCGACAATATTGATTTTATATTTATGAGACTTTTTAAACTACAGCTAGACTATAAGAAGTTTATTTTGTAATCAATATGATCTATAGTATTATATTTGATTGTACCTATGTATATTTATTTATATATAAATGTGTACATATATATAATAGCATCATGCACATTCACTTTTTTATAATTTATGTATTATTTTATTATATAATTAAAAACTTTGCTGGGTGGTTAAAGTCGCCTCCTTAAGTACGTATCTCTCTACTAAGGATGTTATTACGTTCCTGGATAAAGATAATAAAATATTTTTATTCTTGTGTATATATTTAAAAAAATAATTATATTTTATTAAAATTAAGTTTTACCGCTTACTTATTGTTCTTTAACTTCAAAATATTTGTAAGTAGGATTTTCATATCCGTTAATCTGCATATTGGCTACATGACGTTCTTCTTGTGATGTACCTTGATCAACTTCAATAAAACCCTTTAAACAAATGAAAAACTTAGTAATATTACAAAAGTTTTTCACGGGTATTTAAATATTACTTGATTTTGTGGTGATTTAGCGTTTCGTCGGCGTATAACCGCTACTCCAACACAAATTGCGGCCATTAATGAAAGTCCAGCAAATGCCAATGTCAAATACACACTTCGAGATTCTCGATGGAATCCTTCTCTTCGAATTGAGAATGACTAAAAAATGTTTTTAATAATTATGTATTTAATTTAATTGTTAATAGATATTCACTATTAAATAAAAAATATTAATTACCGGTTCTCCGAGACTCATATCATGAACTTGAGCATGTGAAATCTTAGGTTCTGAGTCATGATCATGATGTTGAACAGCTGCTATTTGTTCGGGTTTTGCAGCTGTTGGTTGTGGAGTTTGAGTTATCGGTCGTTGAGGAGTTATGTTTTCATTAGCATCAAATTCAGCTGCGGTTTCAACTTCTAATTTAGCCTCCTTAGACTCTACTTGTTCACGCTTAGGTTCTTTGTGGTCTTTCTCTGCTGAATACCTTTCGTGATCTTTATCTGAAACGTTGGTGTTAAAAGCAAAATAATTAATATAAAATTAGTTTGCCAAATTTAATCCTTTATTACCATCTTGGGATATGTCGGACTTGTATTTATCTAATATGCTTGCTTCAGCATCTCTTGTCATTGTTAATAAAGATCCAGGAGTATCATCTTTGCTTCTAAGTGCTTGAATATAATCAGACATTAATTGAGATATCTTACGAGAAAGTGATGGATATCTATAAAGTAATCAATAAATAAACAATTAAATATTTTAAATCATAATAATCAATTAATTCTATACTGTTTTACCTATCAAGCATTTGCAATGACTGGTTAACCATATGATCAATGTCAACTAAGTGTTCTAAAGTTATGGACTTTTCACGTTCGGCTAACTCTACGCTAGACGCCAATAAATGTCGGTAATGAGCTATAGTATGATGACGATCTTTATGCAAAGATCTCAGAAGTTTTTGTAGACACTTTTGTACTTTATGCGTCTAAAAAGTGAACATGTTTTAAAATTTCAAAAACTATAAAATGAAATATAAAAGGCAAAGAGTGCTTAATATATTAATAAATTACTTACGTTTGGTGTATTTTCATTAAGAGCGTGTATATAACAATTCATGGCATCTTTCTTTCGCTGATTAATGTGAGCATTTACTCTTTGTTGATGCATAGCAAACAATTGATGTTTTTCTGCTGATCCTTCCTCTTCCAATGATTGAACAGTTTGTTGGAATCTTAAAGTCATACGTTGTTTAAATTCTTCAGCCATATGTGGATCTTTGGATCGCATTTCTTGATAACGTTCTTCAAGATCTGACCAGTCTTTCATTACTTTTGTTACCTTTTCGCGGTGAAGTTCTTCTAATCGGTTCAAAGCTTCTTTGTATGACTTATGCTCGTCTCTAGGATCAAAATGTGTAAAGTAGGTATCTGGCGTAGGTAAGTTCCTTACTGGCCCAGAAGGCGTAGTGCGTGAACTTTCAGTGGAAGATGATTCTGAAGTTGTAATAGTTGTAGTTGTTGATATTTTCCTAGTAGTTGGAGGTTCTGTGGTTGTGGTGGTTGTCGTCGTAGTCGAAGGTGTACGAATCGGTGTATCATCATAATGATCATAATCGTCATCGTCGTCTTCCTCATCATTTATGTCATCGTCATCGTCATCATCGTCATCATCATCATCGATGTCTTCTTCCACATCAAACTGATCAGATGATAAAAGACTATCAGCTGCAGTTGTTACAGTTTTCTTCAATTGAATTTTATCTACATAACAAATATAAAATCAGAATAAATTATGTATAATAAATTAAACATATCAATAATTTATAATATAAGAAACTATAGAAAGGAATTTCATAAATATTAAAATTTAGAGTTACCATATAAATTAATACAAGTACAATTATAAAATTAATTTTAGTAAGTTCAGTAATAACAAGTAAAAATTGTTTTATTCTTATATTTGAAAGCTTAAAAATTAATTTAGGATTTTTTTAGAAACAGACATCACTCTTTTTTAAATTACAACAAATTTTTCAGTAAAAAAAAATCAAATTTATTGTTTAGAATAAAATTAAATAAGTTTATTATAATTTCTATTTTAAAATGTATTTTTTTTTAAATAAATTTAATCTATTTGGAGTAAATATAAATATACATTATCGTCCATTTTATTAAATTGTTATGTTATAAGTTATTACCTTTAAATGGACAGCACACAAACTCGACGCCAGAAAATAAGGAAATTCCACATGGTAGTAACATGGCAAAACTTCTTAAATTATGGTCACGATCTTGGCAAGCTTGTGCAGCTGTTTGATTCCAACGGTCAAACGGCCAGCATTTACTCTGATTATGAACATGATCGAATATACAATTCTCGGGAACTAAAAGCGCATCACTTTGAAATTGTCCTTCTGTTGAAAAATAAGTTGTAGTATAATGATAAATAAATGTTAAATAATTATTGGAATCGTTAAGAGCTGTAGGCTGAGGTGGGCGGTTCTTGTATGGATATTGGGTTGGCCACAAGATAGGCCATAAAGTCTGTAATTATAAAAAAACTAAACTAAACGCTTACCAAGACATCTGTACGGTTTCACCCAATCCGTATGCTTGCATTTATTGTATCCCATTTTACACCAGTTACCAATCTTCACATAATGGCTTGATTCAACTATATTTGTGATGTCATTCTTCGGATAAACCTAAAAATTGTTTCCCAGATTAGATTCAAGTAAAAATAAAAACGGATATATTGAATCAATTAGAAATTAACTATACTAAAAAACTCAAATTTTAATTTCAAAAACATATAATTTTGAAATTGCTCTTTAAATTTATTAATTTAAAAAATTTATATTCTTAAAACGTATTTGTAAACAAAATATTCTAACTGTTTATTTATAGAATAATATAAATATAAGATATAATAAAAAAAATAATTATTTTTACTTTTTTACAATAATCCAAAATATCAACTTTTTCCTTCAAGCATCCAACTTTACGTTTTGTGTCAGACGTCCATCGACCATTTTCTGACATGTATTGGCTATAATATGGTGCATCTGATTTTGAGTCACAAAGAACGGCCACCTGTGGTTCAAAGTGGACTGGCGCTGGTCCATCAGGTCCACTGCTCTGTAAAAATATAATATTGAATATATTTTATTGCACACTCATTAGAAGTCATTCGAATGATATTTGCCATTACAATGTGCACAAATGATAGGTATTAGTTATTGAAATTAAAATTTGAAGAGCTAAATTTTAATAAACCAAAAATTGATCAAATCGTGTAATATCTAATATGATTAAAAATAAAAACCATAATAATATAGTTAAGTTACTTTTAATTTTCCTATACATATAATAGATAAAGATAAATAATCTTCGATAAATATTTCTAATGAAATACTGTTCAAAATAAGACAATAGATGGTACCAGTGAATTTCATATTCAGATTTTACAATCTAAATTAATAAAAAGATTAGCGGTTTCTAAGATTTATTTAAATTGTACTTTTTCATACTAGATAATTATTTAGAGTGTATATAAAAAGAGATGACAAGATAGATCTCTATGGACGAAAAAATGTATTGTAATGATATTCGTATAATTTTCTTTCGATTGGAAGGGTTAGGTTACCGGAAATATTATTTTATTTATACTCCAACAAGATAAAGTATAAGTTATGCCATTGCAATGCTAAGCCAATAAAACGAACGTTAATCTACACTTTATTCGTAAGTTATACATCTTTTTCAGAGATATACCAAGGACTACTCTTCCAGACTTCAATAAATTCTAAGTTTGTTTTTTTATACTACAGTACATGTTTAGCATAAATATTTTCACTTAACGCGACGAGCATGCAAATGATTATATTTAAAATATACCTACAGTTATACAAATTACATTATTTTTCAGAATTTAAAGTCATTATATTTATGTAACCTTTTAAAGTTAATTAATTTAGTTATATATGTGTCTAATAGTCTAAATTATGTATTTGTAGGGTATTAATTCATTTATAAAATTTGTTAAATTATTCTGAACCCACCCCATAAAAATTATTATTATACAAATTTTTATTAATTAACTTGAAAACTATATGGTTATATGATGTTTTGAGGTTAAAGTTAGGGAAGATTAGAAGGGATATGTCATCCTATAATGAAAAATATTGCTGTTTCTATAAAATTCTACAACAAAGTTTCACAAATTTGGNTGTTTTTTTATACTACAGTACATGTTTAGCATAAATATTTTCACTTAACGCGACGAGCATGCAAATGATTATATTTAAAATATCTCTTCAAAATTTATATTATAAAATAATAAATAATTTGAATAACTATTTTAAATAGAAAAAAATTAGAAATAACAAACGTTTGAGAAAAAAATTACAAAATTTAATCGTATAATACTTTATGATCTACACTAGGAATATATTAATAGATGACACAATTTGCATTATTTCAATAAATTAAATAGAATTGGAGTCGTAGTATGCTTGACTAGAAAATTTATTTTAATATGGAAATAAATTATTAGATATCCAGTAAAACTCGGGTATTATTATTGTAATACTATTTGTTTACTATTATATTTAACGTAATAATATAAAAAACTTTTTTAAGTAAATAAAATTCTTAATCAAATTAGTTTTTAATAAATAATATATATATATTTATAAATCCACTTAGATAGATCAAACAAAGTTCTGGTAATAACATCTTTTGACGTTAAAATAGTAAGGTAATAATGCACAAAAGGAACTTAAATACCTTCAAGTTCACATCTAACTCCATTACTTTTCACTGACAGGAAAGGATGTCAAAGCCTTAAGCTATTAACTACAATAAAGACTAACGAAATACCTTGACAGCCATTTCTTGATAATAAATGGTTTGCATCATTGGATAATAATTAAGAGATAGATAGATTTACAGAAATTACGAATATCAAAGAAAAAACAAGTAAACAGAACGTCTGATAAATATTTAAGTTTATAATCACGGATATTATTTAGTTTAAATAATTAGAATATATTTACCTAAAGGCTATAAAAAAAGAAAAAAAATTTATATATTTAGAAAATTAATTATAAGCTTCAATAACTGCATACAATTTTAATGAATTAAGATTGTAATGACAACAAATTAAATTAAATTTTATATACATTAAGTAATTATTTTAAATAAAATCATATAAATTTCATATAAGAGCGGTACATTAATCATAACAATTCGGGAATTTATTAGACAAACAATTGAGCTCTTAGAATATATTCATGGAGACAAAATATTTTTTTTAATATTTGGTTTCACTATTCGCTCAATAGACCCAAATAAGAAGGAATAGAAACGGGGTGTTTGTATAGAAAATCACGCATTTTTGGAATCCTCGACATCGACGAAACAAGATGGAGCTTAGTCTCCTCAGTTAACGTATTAGTTCCCCTTAAAAATTATATATGCTATGACAACATATCATATAAATATAAATCATAACAATATAACAAACAGTAAAAATTATAAATAAAATATTTTTTGGTAGTAGCATGTAATGTTAATAAATTAAGTGTCTCTATAAATGTCATAAATAAAAACCATACCTAATTGACATTAATAAAAATAATAATAATGCTCTTAATCTCGGGATTTAAATATATATGTTTTATTTAAACAAAAAAAATTGTTACTTTGCAAAATTTTATAATACACAGGAAAATTAGTCAAGAAAAAAGTCAAGGCAGGGGTCACTATTCCCTTTGCTATCCAGCGGACGTCCATATAAACAAACTAAAACTTTAGAAGTGTCATAATTACGTCAGTGAAAGTTGAATTGTTGACCTAAATGGATATCATTATGAAAGCTTGCGACAGGGCAGTCAAATGTGAGGAGATTAGGGGATAAACCCACGTTTACATAACTTTTCAGTACAATTTTCATCATATATATTTTTTATTTTAAAAATTTTATACATGAAATTCAATTTAAAAGTAATTAAGGATAATTAATATGAAAAACAAGTAATCCTACAAATTTTGCACATTAAAATGTAAGTCTTAGTTATTATTTATACGTAAATTCAATGGGATACTATTCAACTAAATATTTGAAATACGTTTAATAAGAAAAATGTTATTTATGCATATTTAATAGTTTATAATGACATCTTGATATATTAACATAAATTTATATATTAATATAAAATTCTGGGGTATAAGGACATGATGATTTTTATCATAGAGATTTTTCATCTTCTGCCATGAATAAGAATCATTCTACCATCAATGGCTTTGACAAAGTATTAGATATTTTACTCCTTATGATAACATACTCAGCATAGATATAAGAACTGATTTCATGCAGATTTCAATTGTAAAGTTAAACGTTAATACGTTAAGAGAAATTCAACGTCGAACAATTTTACACCATTAGCTCAATGCGACACCACAATTTAAAAGTTATCACTTAAGTTTCCTTCTGTACTAGTTGGCTAGTTTAAAACTCGTTATCTCTAATGACAAAATTGTCCAAATCACTATTAGCGTGTTCAACATTAAATTTCCATTCATCGTAAGTTTTCCGATATATTAAGGTGCGTGAAAATCGTAGCAAGTCAACTTAAACACACACGTATATTTTTATTGATTTCATCTTTATAGTTTTTAAGTATATTTTTATGAGGCATGTATTTACTACTTAAATTATAATGTAGAAGAAATGTATAATATCCACCACAGTGAAACGATTTAAGTCAATCGATTTTTCATTAAAAATCAAGATCAGAACACGATTCTACATAAATATTTTTTTATAAACTAATTACATAACAAAAATTATTTTTTATTAGTGATAGAGATGAAATTTTCGTTAATAATTGTAATAATACAAGTATTATATTTTAGAGATAATTAATATAATTTTCAACAGATTACGAAGTAATAATTGAAAAGTGTAAATAAATACATAATGTCTTTAATAACATAAATGTCTATATTTTTTGTCTATAATTCATTTGTACTATACATTTTAATACATTTTTCATTTTTACTTCNAGGTGTTGCGTCAATCGTGGATAAGATGACAGAAAATAGACTTAGATTGTTTAGTCATGGTATGAGGAAAGAAGAATCGAAAGCTGTAAGAACAGTTATAGAAATGAATGTTGAAGGAAGAAGAGATAGAGGAAGACCAAAAAAGAGATGGAGGTATGCTATTGAATGCGATTTGAGGACAGCTGATGTGAGCGTAGAAGATGTGGGAGATCGTGTCAAATGGAAGTTTAGGATAACGGTGGCCGACCCTAAGTAGTTGGGATTAAGGCGAAGAAGAAGAAGAATAATTCATTTTTACTATTTATTAATTAATAAACAGCTAAAGAAGATATGAATGAAGTGTAATTTTTTAAACATCGTAAACACTAAATATTAATAATGTAAAGCGATTGTTTAATAATATTGAATCGGTCATTAAATTCTAAATTAAAAAACAGTGCTTAATTTACCAAGCCGTGGGCTCAGTACAATTTAAAACTAGGGTGGTACCCTAAAAAATAATTTTTCTCGCTTTGCTCGCAAACAATGATTAATACATAAAATAAAAGTTAATAACAAATACTATTATTACTATGTTCATTGAACATTGTTCAAATATATACAAAATAATTGATTTACGGTTTTCAATTACTCCTAAAATGAGAATTTTTTTTTATTAAAAAATGTTAACCTTATAAGAAAAAGGGCAAGATTTTAAAAATGTTTAACCACTTATAAATCAAGAAATAAATAAATGAATATGCCAAATATTTCAGAAATATTATTATTGTTTCAGCAGAAATCAAGTGGTCAATGACAAATCAATCATTCTGTATATTAAAACATCTTAATTTTTTTTTAAAGAATGTGATATAAAAATTTACCGACTTAATTTCTCATTATATAAATGTAATAAGACAAAATGAGATCTTTAAATTGTATCTTTATTGTTCACTATATATATTTAAATAGTTTTTTATGGAAGTTGTATTTCTCTTCGTAACTTACTAAGGTTTTATGTGTATTAAATATAAAATAATTAATAAAACAAAATACATAAATAAACAGATATCAATTTTTCTTTTACTTAG